CCTTCTGCTGTTTTGTCTCTCTTTGGCCATCTTTCTGACCTTTGCTTGTTTTTCTGGTACACACCCAGTGGCTATCTCAGGCCAATAGGTGATGTCAAACCCTAACCTAGGAGTCTGGCAAAGGTGGCCTTGAACTTGGCTTAAAGGTGAGAAGCAAGCAAACCAGAAGCACTGTTCTTTCTGCCCTGTGGGTGTGCCTTGTGGCCATTCTGTGTCCACCCATGGGAAGCAATTTCTGACTGTTCCCTGACCACATCTCTCCACAGCCATAGTGTGAGGGTGCTGGGCCAAGCCCTGGGTGTGCAGCTGGGGTGGAGTTTGTCAGAGGCCCCTGTGAATGTGTCCTGGGGAGGATAGGTTCCTGGGCCTGCCAGGTAGCCACACCACCCTGGCTGTGGCACCATGTGTAGGGGCAGTTTCTGCCAATATGGTGGCCCTGTCCAGTCACTTCTCTGGCCCATCTAAAGCACTGTGGTAGTTCCAGCCAGATAAACTCTGAGCTTCCAAACTGCAGGGCCAGGACTAGCAGGGGTATTTGAGATGGATACGCCAGGACCCAGAGAACAGGAGCAGGGAGCTTGGGAGAGCAGGGCCTATCCTGCCTGGCAATGACCTAGGCTGGATGGCAATTGGAACAAGGGCCATTGGAAGCATTGATGAGGGGGCTGGAAGGATGGTGAGACAATCAGTGAGTGATTGAGATCACTGGCTGCTTTTCCAGAGGACCTGGGTTCAATTCTTGGCACCTACATGGCAGTCTGTAATTCCAGTACCAGGGGATCTGACACCTTCATACCAATGCACATAAATAAATTTTATTTTAGAAAAGCATTAATGAATAGATTTGGTCCTGCTGAGCAAGTGACTGAAATGAGTATGGTTGTCCCTCAATTGTCTCTCTGTCCTAATGGGATCAGTCTAAGATCTCACCATGAGTCCCTAAAACTGTAGATGCTCAAGTCTCCTTTGTAACCCATGCAACCTCCTGACTGCCACCCTCTCTCCTTCCTGTCCTGACTCCCTTTCCCTCCTCCCTCCTCTCCCCGCTTTCCTCCTTCTGGACTTTTGGCCAGTTATTTGGGATGTGGAACCCCACCTGAGAAAATGCCTCCATCAGATTGACTGTAAGCAAAGGTATAGGACATTTTCTTGCTTAAATGATTGATGTGGGAGGGCCCAGCCAACTGTGGGAGGGGCCACCCTGGGCAGGTGGTCCTGGGTGCCATAAGAAAGCAGGCTGGGGAGATCAGGAGGAACAGACTGTAAGCAGGGCCCCTCCACAGCCTGTATTTCAGTTCCTGCTGTGACTTTCTTTCAGGATGACCTGTGATTGGGCTTCTAACCAGAAATAAATCCTTTCCTCCCAAGTTGCTTTAGTTCATTTTTTTTTTTTTTAATCACAGCAGTAGAAAGCAAATTAGGACAGGATTGAACAGGGGCCTCATGTGCCAGACAAGCATTCCACTCGTGAGCTGCAGAACCCTCAGCTGTGTGATTTACAGCATCTCATGATGACTTTGATTGAATTTTTATTTAAGATTTACTTTTATATCATGTCTTGTGACCCACATACATGCAGTGCCCATGGTGATCACAAGAGGGAGTCAGATCCCTGGAACTGGAGTTATAGATCCTTGTTTTGAGCTGCTATATGGATGCTGGGAATTGAACCCAGGTTCTCTGGATGAGCAGCCACTGATGACTTTGAAAAATGGATGTAATTAAAGCATTGTGCAAATAGCTGCTGTACTGTATTGGTTAGGAGTGGTGGAAAAGAAAAAAACAAAAACACGTGTTTCATATAAACAGTTTTTCTTCAGATTTTCAGTGAACAGTTGGTTAAACCTGCAGGTGCAAAGCCTTCTGACACAAAGGACTGGCTGCCACATGTAGGATTCAGACAGTATTTTCAACAACCCTTATACTAGAGGACAAGTGGAAGAAGACAGTAACTGAGGAGTCCCTCCAGATGCCCAGGACCCAGTGTATATCCCCACTTAAGGGTCCTAGCTGTCTCTTTCTCCTCTTTGTCCTTGGGACAAGCTGTGGAGTGTGTGCCACTGATATGGTTGGATGGTGTGTGCCTCTCCTGTCTCCCTTGAGTCATCTTAGAGTTCACACACTGTACAATACTACCCCAGCCCTGTGTAGAAAGAAGAGAGGCTATGTCCTGGCGTTGGAGGGGTCACTTCTCATGGGGTGACAGAGGTGGCTGCTCTTCCGGAGGACCTGGGTTTGATTTCCAGCACCGACATGGCAGCTCACAGCTGTCTGTGACCCCAGTCCCGGAGGATTCAATGCTCTCTTTTGTCTTCTGTGTGCAACGGGTATGCACTTGGTATGTAGACATACAGGCAGGCTCATACATATAAAAAAGGTCACTTCCCTGCAGATGGCTGTCAGGTTTCAGTATTGTCCCGAGGTTGCCATTCTATGGGTGTGGGAATGTGGCTGGTAGACGCTGCAATCCTCCTAGGATAAGTCTCAGGCATGTGGCTTGAGGAAGCTGCCCTCAATACAATGAAACAAACTTTCTTTCAGTGAAGTCTTTGCTCTGGAAGATGGGAGGGAACCCTGTGCCCTGGGCCTCTCCATCATGTCTCGAGGTGGGGATTGGATTGGCAGGGTCTGTTTGTCCACAGCAGGCATCAGGCTTTGGTTTCAGTACTCAGTTGGATCTAGTGCTAGACTTTGGTCTTAGTACTCAAATGGATTCAGACACAGGCGCCAGGAAAGCTGACGGCGGAAGCCCAATGCTGGCTGCTGCTGGCTGCTCATATACAGGGGCCGCTGCCAGCTCTGGGCATTGGGAGGATGGGCTGGGGCTGGGCTCTGTTGTGTAGGCAGCTTCTAATTCATGGTCCTGGGCGCACAGCCTAGTTTCATCCTTTGCTGGTTACCAGGTCTCCAGTCTTACCTGGGTTTCCCTCCTTGTAGAACTTGTGTGTGGAGTTAGGGTAATTCGTCTCTTTTGATGGCCGGCTACCAGCCACCCCTTCACAGCCTGTGCATGAGAAACAACTGGTGATTGAAGGGCACAGGAGAGAGAAATGATGGGACAAGGGCAACCAGGAAACCATCCAGCTCCCAGGAAGCCATGTGGCAGGAGTCAGAGGCCATCACTGTGTGTCACTGATGGTGCCTCTGGGCTTGTGTCTCCCTTGTGGTTTCCAGGTGTTTCTACAGGGCAGCCCTCAGACAGCCATTGCTATTTCCATTTTGCAGAAAAAGAAAAAGGAGCTTTGAGCTGTGCCCCAAACCAGCTAGGGGATTGCAACAAAACAGAGCTGGGGGGCGGGTGCAGTGATGGCTCAGCAGTTAAACACACTGGCTGCCTTCCCAGAGGGCCAGGGTTCAACTCCCAGCACAGGCATATCACAATCATTTGCCACTCCAGTCCTGGGGATCCGACACTGGTTTCTGGCCTCCGTGGGAGCTGTGTGCCCTTGGTACACAGACATATATGGCAGGCAAAACTCATATAAAATTAAAAGAAGAAAACAGAGTTGGGATTTGAATCCAGGACTCCAAGTAGCTGTTTTATTATTGCCTATGTTGACTGGCTGAGGGAGCCATTTCTTCCTAAGACTTTCAACTGCTATCTGGGATGTCAGTAACATCAGTGATGGCATGTTTTATGCAGACACTAGAAGTCACAGTTAAAGATACAGAACATTTTCCATGAAGCCAGCAAAACACCAGCAGTATGTAAACTAGCACACAGGTATACATATGTGACAGGAAGTTTGTTAACTGTGGTTATTATATAGTTGGTTTCTAAGTGATTTAATTTTCTTCTTTTATATGTATATGTGTGTGTTTATAGTGAAATATTTTGCTTGGTTTTATGCCTTTAAAAAAGCCTTTGTGTGTGAATATGTGGTGTGGTTTGAGTGTGTGTGTGTGTGTGTGTGTGTGTGTGTGTGTGTGTGTGTAGGTGAGTGCATGACACAGTGTATGTGTGGAGATCAGACAGCAATTTGGAGTGTCGCTTTCTATCTTGCTTGAGACTTCATCATCCGACATTCACTTGCAAACACTAGGCTGGCTGGTCCTCAAGCTTGTGCGGAGTCTCCCATCTCCCTGTAGGAACACTGCGATTACCAAGGCGTGCACTGTTTCATCCTGCTTTTACTCAGGTCCTCAGTCCCTAAAGAGGCTACTTAAAACAAAGAAAACAGGAGTGTCTAACCCAGTGTCCTGGGTTAACTCCAGAGGTGGACATTTTCAGGAGAGGGTGAACGTCCCATCCTTGGGAGTAGAGGAACAGTCCGACTCCCTCTATCCAGGCTTCTTGGCAGGAAGTGCCGAGGACTGGTTTCTGGATGCAGCCTGTGGGGGGCTCTTCAGTGTCCCAGGCCCTGGGAGACAAAGGGATTGTTCTGAGATGGCCTGCCCCCCTTGATAGAGTCTAACTAAGCATGTCCAAGCACCTTGTTCAAACACAGATCTGACTGGGGAGGCTTGGGGTGAAAGGACTGTTTCTGACGTGCTCCTCGAGCACTGTCCTATTCTAGGGATTTACTGTGGAGAAGGACCCATGGCTGGGCTCCACTGTGGGAGCATCCCCGAGTAATAATGCCATTCCAGCGATGACTGGCAAGTATTTAGAGATATTACAGCAGGGAGCTTCAAAGGGACCCTTGAGTCAGTTGACCTCTCTGGAAGAGACTCTTCAAAAAGGAACAGATGAGTATCTTGTTGAGCATCTTGGTCAGTCACTACCTGAAGCTGCCCCCTTTCCCCATAGACGTGGGCTCTGTGGAAAGAGCTCAGGGTTAGGAACGGTGTCCAGAATTTGAATTCTAGCCATGTGTCCTTGGGCAAGTCATCACCTCTCTTAGACTCTGTTTCTTGGAAAAGTAGGAAGGAAAAGGCCTGCTGGATAAGGCCATGGAGGGGTGAGGTGGTGCTGAATGTTAGAGTATGACATGTGACATGCAGTAGCCTCTCCTTGCCCCCCAGGGAAGTTTGCTAGCTTTACTCTGTGTCTCTTATAGGTGGATGAGATTTATCACGATGAATCACTGGGGGCCCATGTGAACATCGCCCTTGTCCGCTTGATCATGGTGGGCTACCGACAGGTAAGCCCCTGCTGACTGGAGGGAGGCAGGGTGGATGACAGGCCGGAGACTTGCCTACCAAATCGCTCTCCTTGAGGAGTCTGTAGGGGAAGGTAAGGCTTGTGAGTGGGGCAATGATAGAGACAAGTCCCATCATTGTTGAATTTAGGGACCCTGACCTCTGCAGCACTAAATCAGGCTAAAGGGGGTGGAAGTCACACTTTCCTTGAAAGCTACCATAGAGACTGGATAAGGAAATAAGTGTTCGGTATGGAGAAATGCTTGACACAGCTGACTTCCTTGCAGGTTAAGGAGAATGGAAATAGTATGCATTGAGTCTCTAGGGGGTATGGGTATGGAGCAGTGTGCCAGCAGCAGCCAGGTGTGGGCAGATGGTGTCTCTAGGAGAGGCACTGCTGTCCCTGTTCTCCCTCTGTGAAGAGCTCCTGTCATGTCTGAGGTCTTGAACCTTCCCACCCTTGCCTGCAGTCCCTGAGCCTGATCGAGCGAGGGAACCCAGCACGCAGTCTGGAGCAGGTGTGTCGCTGGGCACACTCCCAGCAGCGCCAGGACCCTAGCCACACTGAACACCATGACCACGTCATCTTCCTCACCCGCCAGAACTTCGGTCCCTCAGGTATGTAAGGGACTGTGTTTACCATGGCCAGGAGTGAGCAGCCCGCATGGCAGAAGTAGAAGTTCCAGGCTGCACCTGGAGAACAATGTTCTGTCTGTAGGGCCCACTCAGGCAAGAAGAAGGGACAGGACCTAGATGAACAGAGGGTTAAGGCTTGGAACTTAAGGACTGTAGCCGGGAAATGTACCACACTTTGGTGAGCATTGCCTCAGTCCTGCCTGGAGCTGCTGTTTGAAGCCAGCACCCCCCACCCAACTGCTTGAAGACCTCAGAGCCCTTAGCCATGCTTCTGAGCACTTGGGAAAATTGTGTGCCCATGCACCCCATGATCCAGGAGCTCTTCAGCTTCTGGATTCTTCCAAGTTGCAGAAGGGGGAAAGTGAAATATTGACCATCCTTCATCTGCCATCTGCTCACTGGACAGAGGGTAGCAGGGGCTGCACAGAAGTCCATGGCAGTACTGACAACTGTAAGCATCTATATACATGCAGTATTGACCACAGTTCCCATATGGGGAAACTGAGGCACAGTGTGGTGAAGAGACACACCGAGGCCACACTGGCTCTCCAGGTCTCACACTGAGGTTCTTTCAGGTGTTTCTCTAGTTTAACGATGGAAATGAGTCAGCTAGCCTGCCTACCCAAGGGCTCCTTTGTCTGAACCACCAGGTTCCAAATGTGTATAAATGCATGTGTGTGCACACAAATGCACACACACACACACACACACAGTGACACTGTACACATGTGTACAGTTACACTCAGATACCCAGACACATGCACACATGTGTACAAGACACTGACAGGCATGTGTGGAACTGCATGGCTGTGGCGCTAACCCCAGAGCTGAGGTCCCAACCCCTTCTCCTGCACCATTGCACTGTGTTCCCCAAAGGCTGTCAAGATGGAAGGCACAGTCAGCATAACTCTAAGTCAGGAGAGCTCTCTAGTTACTGAAGGCCTGGGCAAGGAGCCCTTCCTGTCCACACCTCCATCTCCAGATTGCCCCAGCCTGCACTCCTGCTGCAGTTGGGGTCTGTTTTGGTTGTTTATTTGTCGTCTGGCATGGACTGCATGGTCCCTTGCAAGCTCAGCCCTAGAGGCGTTACTGGAGGCAGACCCTTGGTTCACAGGCCTTCAAACAGTGGTGCCTGCTAACAGTGTGGCTGAATGCTATTTCCTGCGGCTCCCCAAACTCGCAAGAGTTATGCCTGTTGTGCAGCTTGGCCCTCAGAAGTCACTCCCTTCTTTCCCTGGGCCCATTAAACCTTCCAGGGGACCATTCCTTCCCTTTCCTTCACCTCTTCCTAGAACTCTTGATCCTTGAACTGTGGTCCTCAGATACCCCTGTACTCAATTCCCATCCCCAGCTGAGGTAGACCCTCCTTAATAATAGGGTGTGTTGGGAATAGAAGCATGGACTTCTCTGTGTCCTCTATGATAGCTACATAGTACTTCTTTTTTGTCTCCTCCCCCTCTTCCTCCTTCCTTCCTCCTTTTTCCTCCTCTCCTCCACCCCTTCTTCCAACTCCTCTCCTCTCCCCTTCTTTGTTGCTGCTGTTAGATGTGTCTATCTTGTTCAGGCTGGTCTTGAACTCCTGGACTCATGTCTTCCTGCCTTAGTCTCAAGAGCTTTAGGCTGGGGCTTTAGGCAGGTGACACTGAACCTAGTTCTGCACCGAACCCAACACAGGGCCATCCCTGACTTCCAGAGAGGAAGTGTTCTGAGCGTGTTTGTTGAGTGATCACAGGATTAGAGTATGTGCAGGCTTGGGTCTCACCTGGAAGTTCTGCTTGTTCAGAGCAGTTGCTTGTAGAATGTGGAAAACTATAGTCAGGAGCAAGTCCTAATACTGGAGTGTGGTGGCAACAGGCCCATGGTTATTCTCTGGGAAGAGATGTTTGATTCCCTTTCTTCTCAGGAACCTCCAGCATCCACCAGGTTGGATGTCTGTGTGGTTCAGGCTGGGCAGCCAGGTGAGCACAGCCCACCTCACCTGCCTGTGACCTCTCTCCTTTTCCCTGACAGGGTATGCCCCTGTCACTGGTATGTGCCACCCCCTAAGAAGCTGTGCCCTCAACCACGAGGATGGCTTCTCTTCAGCTTTTGTGGTGGCTCATGAGACTGGTCACGTGTGAGTAGCCCTGGGAGGGTGGGAGAGCGAGTGGCTCTCAGGTTATGGGCCTAGTCTTGAGCTCAGAGGGGGCCTGAGGGTAAAAGGTCAAGGTCAGGGTCTGTCATCGACACATGCTATCTACAGATGCCCATGGCAGGAGGCTGTGGGACCACATGTACCCTGGCTTTTGTCAGACTGGTGGCAGAATACCTATCGTAGGCAAGAGTTGGCCTCCATCCTTGCTGTTTCTCCACTGTCTTTATCTCAGCATCCTTTAGAGACCAGTTCTAGCGCACCCTGGCCTATGCCCTCTGAGGAGCTGGCCCAAGCCCACCACAAACAGGCACACTTTGAACCCAGGCAGTAAGCCAGTTGGGGCTGGCAGCCGGTTCTGTGGCCTCGGATGCTGTTTAGAACATACTCATTCACAATCCTAGCTAGTTTTTGGTTTATTCTTTTGTTTTTGTGGGTTTTTTTTTTTGAGACAGGGTCTTATATAGCCCAAACTAGTCTCAAACTATCTGAGGGTGTCCTTGCACTCTGGACCCTCCTGCTTCAGATCACCCACATCCTGGGGTTATAGTCGTATGCCACCTCACCTGGCTTCATTCATTATTTCTTGAGCACCTATCTTGTGCTGGGGGTTTGACTTGCTGTCAAGGGCAAGATGTATCCATTCTTTCTTAAGTAGATGCCCCTCCCTGCTGGGAGGCAAGGTCAAGCTTAGAGGTCTGTGCCATGTCCATCTAGTGGTCAAAGGCCAATGAATCACTGGCAGTATTTAAGAAATTAGGAGTTGGGCTTTGGTCTTGAAGAACAAAGTATAATTAAAAACAAGTTTTAAGTTTAAGCTTTCATGGGTGCCAACTATGTTTAGAATTCTACACACTGGGAGGGGTGGTTTGTTTGTTTCTTTCAGATTGGGTCCCACTCTGTAGTCTGTCTAGCCTGGAACTCACTATGTAGATCGGACTGACTAGATAGAATTTAATGACGCTGGCCCTTGCATGTGGAAGCCTTTTAGTGGGCAACACAAGAGCTGTTGATAGAGAGCAGGAAGGCCCTGCTTTGGAAGTCAAGCCATGCATGTGGCAGCTAGGGATGATGCCATACAACAGGAGCTCCCACAGGGACCTTCTACCCAGCAGGCAGTGGGCCTGGGGATGGGCCTGGGGATGGGCCTGATGGTTTGGTGCCAGCCACATGGGGGTTAGTGCAGGAGGAACAGAATTCACACCTTCCCCCATCTTGTCTGTGGGCTGGGTGTGTCCAGAGGCCTGGAAAGGCCTGGGCCATGGGAATAATTGGAAGAGGGGGCAAGGAAGGTGAGTGGTCATTGGTGTCCCAGATGGGCAGTCCTCAAGAGCTTGGAGGATGTGGTTAGGGTCTGAGGGAGGGGTGACTCTCCAGGAGGGAGGAGAGGAGCAGAGAGGCACAGTCAGGGAGCTAAGGCTAGTAGACTGAATTCCTAGTCAAGGTAGTGTCAGCTGTCTGGGGTCCATCTGTCTGTATTCATGGTCAGTACCTACAGCATGACTTTCTCTTGCCCTCTAGGCTTGGCATGGAGCACGATGGCCAGGGGAATGGCTGTGACGATGAGACCAGCCTGGGCAGTGTCATGGCGCCTTTGGTGCAGGCTGCCTTCCACCGTTTCCATTGGTCCCGCTGCAGCAAATTGGAGCTCAGCCGCTACCTCCCGTATATTGCCTTCGCCCAAGGGGAGGGATGGGTGGGCAAGCCCAGGCTACACAGCCTGAACTCTGTCCTGCCCCCACCCCCCATTCCCTCACTTGGCCCACACTAGAAGCACAGTGTGACCAAGGGTTCCCTACCCTACCCAAGTGCTAACTAGCTTCTCTGTGGTCGGCACCTGGGAATCTGTTCCTAAGTGTGCAGATGATACTATGTTGCAGATGGAGCTAGGGTAGCTTCAGCTTCCCAGGGCCTCAGAGACAGGGATGTAGGGAGGGCATGAGGAGATGTAGGCCAGGTGTTCCAAGCAGAAAGACAGTCACTGACCTTTCAAAGCACCTGGATGGCACTGTCTATTCAGCATGCTTCCTGAATGGTGGATACACTTTGACTCATGCAATATGCCCTCAAATTGTCCATAAGTCCATTCCTAATTTTATCCAGAGTACATCCTTTTATGTGCAAACCAACACTACAAGCCAGCTATCGCAGGGAATATAACCCGGGCCCTACCCTGAAGGACAAAGCAAGGGATTACCCTTGAATCTGGAGGTCAGTTTGATCCACCCTTAGTTCTTTAGCCAGGCCTTAATATCTTTGCCCCTGGATTCCTCCTCCTGGAGACAGTCATAGAGGAAGAGCCATGCTGTAACAACCCATCCTCCTTGGCAGAGACAGCTGGGGCCCAGGACAGTGAGCACAGATTCCTGTAGGCCTTCCTTGCTAGTTAAAAGCCTCAACCCTGGGAAGGGAAGGCTTGGGATTTATAGCCCTAGGGCTGGCTGCTCACTTCCCTTGTCCCCACTGCAGTTCCTACGACTGCCTCCTTGATGACCCCTTTGAGCGTACCTGGCCCCAGCCCCCGGAACTGCCTGGGATCGACTACTCCATGGATGAGCAGTGCCGTTTTGACTTCGGCACTGGGTACCACACCTGTTTGGCTGTGAGTAGGCTGGGTAGCAGGCTAGTATGACCCAGGCCGTTGCTTTCCAGGATACTGTCAATGCTGCCAGCAGTGGGCCTAGGGATGGGCTTGCAGGCTTGGTTCCAGAATATCGGGAAGAGATGAGGGGCAGGGTGTAGACTCTGTCTAGTCCTACCTTAAAGCCACATGGATAGAGGCCCAAGCACAGAAGCAAGGAGGGCAAGTAGCCACTGATACCCTGTTTGGTTTGGTCCCTTGAGGGGTTTACTTGTGAGGTAGCCCAGGTATCATAGCCAGAGGCTGGGCCTGGGTGAGAAGAGTTTCCAACTCTGGACACTGTGGTAGGCCATGGTGGTCTATCTCCTTAGCCCTGTGTCTGCAAGTCACCTCTCCATGGGGTCATACCCATGTCTTCATCCTCCTGCTGGAGGCCAGAGGTACCAAAGAACATAACCCTACTACAACTCTCCAGGACAGGGCAAGGGGTGAGCCTTAAGGCTGGGGGTCAGTTTGATCTACCCTGAAGAGACTCACACAAGAGGACATTTAAGGGTAGGGACATCTAAAAAATAGGCTCTGTGGCCCTAGGACTTTGTATCTGCATCCTGAGAATGAAGCCTCCCTCCTCCACTCTTCAAGATAGGACGCTCTGTTTGGTAGCATGGAACCCTTGTGTGGTTATTTTTTCCCACACTGAGACATGTGGCTTGACACAATACTGCTTTGGGGCTGAAGAACAGAGTGTGGACCTCAGTGCCCAAGTGCTGTACTTGTGGGGAGCCTGTCTGCTGTAAGAGAGCTGCTATGAAAGTAGTAATGAAATTGGGGGCACCCTTCCAGTCTGGAGCACAAGGTGGCTGACCTCTGATCTCAGTGGGTGTTTGTATTAGATGGAGATGAGGGAATCTCATCGTCATGTGAGTCCCCTCAAGATTCCCCACATGCCCGAGGATTGGGGACCTCCTGGGCCCAGACCTCTATGGAGGTCAGTGAGAGGACAGAGTGTGCGCCCTGGGAAATGCCCCTTCTCAGACTGCAGGAGGGGCGCAGAGGAGGCCCAGGAGCCATTGGCGTTTAGGGTTGAGTGGAATTTGATAGTACACGAGGTTCTGGCTGCCTCGTAGTGTCTTAGACCCCAGCATCCACCATGCCCCTTTCTCTCTGCCACTACCTACCTCATCCTCCCCCCCCCCGCGCCTCATAGTTCAGGACCTTTGAGCCCTGCAAGCAGCTGTGGTGCAGCCATCCCGACAACCCATACTTCTGCAAGACCAAGAAGGGGCCCCCGCTGGATGGGACAGAGTGTGCACCCGGCAAGGTACTTGTGTGGGGCTGTGGAGGAAGTGGCCCTCCTAAGATGTAGATCATCCACCCCTGGCATGGGTGTAGGTGCCAGGGCCTTGCTTCTGTGTGTCATAGATGATACACATGCGAAGAGTCTTCTCGTAACCTTAGACTTCCACGTTGCTCTTTGTCCCTTGGCCTCTATGGTCAACCTCGTTCAGCATTGTCACTTGAGCTGCAGCAGGCTTTCCTCCTCATAGATGAGATGAATGAGCCCTGGCTGGGTTAAGGAAAGGGTCAGGCCACAGGGCGAGTGATTAACGGAGAGGGATGGGGGGGATTCCAGCTACCCCTCCGACTCCCCTGCTCCCTGGCACCTCCTCCCTACCCCACACCTCTTCTCTCCTCTTCCACAATGCCCTTCATGTGTTTCTGGGTGTGTGTTTGCTTCTCTGCATAGTGCAGAGAAATCCCTGGCTTGTCTGAGAGCCCTAAGCAGCCCTATTTAAAATCTGTATCCTCCTGGTCACTGTCCTGAATACAGTTAGCCAGTGAGCCTCCGTCTTCTGAGGCCTTGTATGAGAATCCAGCCCTGTGCCTTCAAGTCTTAAGGCAGTTTAACCAATGAGTAACCCGAGGTCTGGTAAAGTGAAGAGGCCACATGCATCTCATAATGGCAGAGCTGGGATTCAAACCCAGGCTTTTCAGATGCTATGTGTCTATCCCTTGGCTGCAGGCCACAGACTTGGCTCATACATGTTTATGGTCCCTGGGGAGGTACAGGTAAGCTTCCGACAGGGTGAGACAATTGTCTTTCCTTCCCTCTCAGCCCTGCCCACACCAGACAGGGTGACACATGAAATAGTGGTCCATTCATCGTCATCGCAAATCTCATTGAATAATGAATGTTGGCTGTTTCTGGAGGGCTGTGTGTGCTGCTGTTGACTGGGGTTCTGTTACCAGCATTGTACTAGAGAGACATGGCTACACCCAGGACAGCAAGCATTTTGTCTGAGGTGGCTCAGCTACCTATATTGCAATAGGCCTGGGATCCTGTTCAGTTCATTCCCCAGACTAATCTCTTAATGGCCCTCTCTGGGTTTGCCATTGTATCCATCAGCTATACTGTGTGCCCCAAGGAATACCCTTGTTCCAGACTCCACTGTGGTGGCCCAACGTGACCATATGCTCTCTTCTCTACCCCAGTGGTGCTTCAAAGGTCACTGTATCTGGAAGTCACCAGAGCAAACGTATGGTCAGGATGGAGGCTGGAGTTCCTGGACCAAATTTGGCTCATGTTCTCGGTCATGCGGAGGTGGAGTACGATCGCGAAGCCGGAGCTGCGACAACCCTCCGTGAGTGCAGTGGCCTGAGGATACCACCTACCCAGAGGAGAGACACTCAGAGGGGAAGGCAGAAGACAGGGAAAAGAGAGCACACTTAAACAGTCATTTGTTTCCTGGATAAGAACAAAGAATGTTGGAGCGAGGCAGGTCTCTTCTACCTGCATTTGCTAGTGAGCCATCAGGGCTGATTTCCAGAGATGTGCCTGAGATAGCATTTCAAGTGGCCATATCCAGAGTAGTCCCCAGAGAGATGGAGTGGGCCCAGGACTCTGCCAGGTATTCAAGACCCTCCACCATCCCAATTTTTGGCCAGACTTTGAGTATGCACTACTTTCAATGTATTTTTCACCCACCATCAGGTTTGCTTTCTGCCACATACGCAAACTTTTCTTTCATTTTTATTTTTAACTTCTGTCTAACACCAATACCTCTGTTTCCTACATCAGTGTTCTGGGGAAGACACTTGTCTGTCCCTTTTTGTCATCTTGGTAGGATCCTCTCCCCTACTTCACTGTGAAATGTCTGAGCCCCAGTTTTTCACAGTCCTCATCTCCCAGTGTGAAATTGCTTGCTTAGGACACCCTAATGAGGAATAGATAAGCTGGCCATGAGTTCACTGGAATAGGGACTTGCACAGGGCCTGGCTCAGGCCCTCTTTGCACCAAGTAGCATAATGAACATTCACAATAATAGGTCACAGGGCCACAGTAGATGCAGAACCCTTCGAAACAGTAGTCATTTGGGGTTTGGTGGACAAAGCACTTGTCATGCAAGCTAGACCAGGGTTTGGATTCCCCGGAACCTATGTGAAAGTTGGGCAAGTGTGATGGCTGTTCAGAATCCTAGCACTTGAGAGATTGGGGATCCAGAATTCCCCAGGGCATACTGGCTGGGAAGAGTCACCAGAACCAGCAAGCTCCAGTTTCAACATGAGATGCTGCTGCCATAAATCAAGTGAAAAATGAGGACACCCAATGTCAACTTGGGGCCACCATACACATGCATGCACACATGTACTTGTAACCATGCGTGCACACATGCACAGCACACACTCATGCACATGCAGGAAGAGAAACAAGAAATAACGGTTATTGGTGGTGCACTGTTCACTTGCAAGGATTGGTGACTCACTGCCACCAGACCGACCAGTGTCTTTGTTAACCATGTTATTCAAATGACAGCCAACATGGACTACCTTGGAATTTTCCTCTATTGGAGTCACCACAGCCAAGGTGGTAGGAAGGCATAGCGTTGCCTACTCTGATAAACCACCTTGCATTTACCAGCAAGTTATCCCCGTGATCAGAGCTACCATTTATTAAGTTTCCTGTGGTAATAGCTTTTCATTTTATGCGGCTCAAATGGAATAATATGTGTGCTCAGCACTGGAGCGTGGGTTAAATACTCCAGAGGCAGCAGCTGCTGTCATGTGGAAGTGCTCTGAACACTGCAGGATGCTATGCGCTCAGGTGATAAGCCCAGAATTTTCCCAGTATGTCCAAGCAGGGCATTGCTACCTCCTATATATGGATACTTTATATGGATAGGGTTTTTGTTGTTGTTTTGTTTCTTATTTTGAAATGGGACCTTAAAAGGTAGCTTTGGCTGGACTAGAACTCATTATGTAGACCAGGCTGGCTTCTACCTCCCAAGTGCTGAGGATTAATGGTATATGTCACCACATCCGGCTTAATAGTCTTTGTTTTTTTTAATTTATTTTTTATTTTATGTGACTGTTTTGCCTACATATATGTATACACACTGTGTGTTTGCAGTGCCTGAAGAGGCTAGAAGAAGGCATCAGATCTGTGGGAACTGGAGTTACAGACAGTTGTGAGCCACCATGTGGGTGCTGGAAACTGACCCTGCAAGAGTAGCCAGTGTTCTTAACCATTGAGCCATCTTGACAGCTCCAGTATTGACAGTCTTTCCTAACCCTCTCCACCTAATGGGGAAGTGCCTGGTTTCTCTACCCTGCTCTGTTTTGTCACAACAGAAGGTGAATTATGATGGTTCCATGTCTCAAGGGGGAAATCAAGACCAAGTGACTGACCAAGGTCACATGGTCAGGACTAGGATGTCAGCTCAGCTCTTCTAGTTCAAACCCCAAGTTTCTTTGGTTGCTCCTTAGTTTATTATGCTATAAAACAGAAGTGGACGCAGAGAACACTCTGTCCTTCCCTGAGTGTCTACACAGTCTGCAGGAAGGACTGGAGGGATTTAAAGAATAAGCAAGACTAGCTAGTCCCTGACTCTGCCATTCTGTCCTGCCCCCCACCTCTCCCCCACCCTTCACCCTCTGAGCACACGCAACACACACGGTAGGTGAAATGGTCATGGAGGAAGAGGGTCTGCAAAGGCTACAGTTGCAGCTCACTTGGTGGAGTGTTTGTCTGGTATATAGCCCTGGGTTCAGTTCCTAGCATTGCATAAATTGGGCATGATGGCAAATACCTATAACCATAATACTCAGGAGGTGGAAGTCAGAAGATCCAAAGATCAAAGCTATCCTCAGCTTCATAGTCCAAAGCCAGCCCAAGTCTTATGAACCCTGTCTCAGGAAGGAAGGAAGGAAGGAGGGAGGGAGGGAGGGAGGAAGGGAAAGGTGGGAGGGAAGAAGGAGGGAGGGAGGAAGGAAGGGAAAGGTGGGAGGGAAGAAGGAGGGAGGGAGGAAGGGAGGAAGGAAGGAAGGAGGAAGTCAGTTCAGAAGGCCTTGAGTTCAGCAGATCAACCCTGTAGGTCACTACTTCGTGGATAAGTCAGTGGAGGTTCCCTGCCACTACTATATCTGTCCCAGGTCTCATGTAGGAAGCTCCCCTCACCCCAGGCTTCCCAGACAGCCAGATCACCTGGTCTGTCTTCTACTGCAGTCCAGCCTATGGAGGCCGTCCATGCACAGGACCCATGTTTGAGTACCAGATCTGCAACAGTGAGGATTGTCCTGGGCCCTATGAGGACTTCCGGGCCCAGCAGTGTGCCAAGCGCAATTCCTACTATATCCACCAGAATGTCAAGCACAGCTGGCTCCCGTACGAGCCTGACGATGGTGAGTGGCCCTGCTCTGCCCAACTCTTGAGCATGTACCCCTTCCTGTTCTCCCACCTATTGAGGCACAAGGACCTGGAGGTGCCACAGGGAGCTGGTGGGACGAGCCACCCAAGTCCTTTGGGTGTGCCTGTGTATCCCATGTGCACTTCTGGAGCCACCATCACCATCACCATCACCATTGAGGCCATCCCTGGTCTTTTGCTTGTAAGCTTGCAGAGGGGGCTCCCTCTCCAGGGTTGCAGACATTTTTCATTACCTGTATAAAAATGGTCTTCCCTAGAAAAGAGACTACAGAGAGCATTTAATCTGTGGCGGTACACACCTTTAATCTTAGCACTCAGGAGGCAGAGGCAGGCGGATCCCTGTGAGTTGAATGCCAGCCTTGTCCATATAGTGAGTTCTAAGCCACTCAGAGATACATAGTGAGATGCTGTATCAAAAAACAAGAGGGAAGGAGAGAGGGGATGAGGGGGGAGGGAGAGGGACAAAGACATAGTTCACCTCCTGGAGTTTGTCTCAGAGTCCCGGGGAAAGGCCACCCCTGGGCTTGCAACACTCTCCAGGAGTGTTGTACCCTGTCCACTAGAGCTTCAACCCACTGCAGGCCAGGCTTCTAGGTGTCAGGGTGACACCATTTAACAGTTGCTGAAGGTCATTTGAAAGGCAGGAGTGTGGGAACCTGGGAGATCCTCATGTTCCCCCACCCCAGGCTGCCCTAGGGTAGACACAGGTCTTAGGACATGGACAGTCTGATACTCCCAGTCTTTTCATGTGAACACAGTGAGAGCTCCTGCTGCGGCATTAGACCAGGAATGGCCAGGATGCCTGGCTCTTCAGGCCCGAGGCCAGAAGGGCTTTGCTGGTGTGGTGAATCCCATCTCTTGGACTCTAGGCAGCTCCTGTGAGAACTGCAGCTTCCCAAGCCTGAGTTGACCTCAGCACCCTGAGCTGCCCGGCTCAGGCTTATGGCAGATTCCTCAGATTGCAAGGGACTTCAGAGTCTTGCCAGTCCCAGACTTCTCAGCTGTGCCCTTGCAGGAGTGGGCAGCAGCTTCCTTCTGCTTGGATTACTCCCACTCCAGGGGGATCACCACTCCTTTGCCTCTGTCAGCTGTCCAGACACTTTCCCGCCAGCATGTCCTGCTCTCAGGCTCAGACTCCACCAGGAATCTGACTCTCAGGCTGGTTCTCCAAAGTGGTCTTAGCTGTAGTGACTCCAAACTGGAGTCCTGTGTGAGGGAAGTAAGAAGTGACCTGGTGTTGGGAGCTTGGAGAGAGGAGCAGACATTGACTGGGCTCCTTAGGATGGGCTTCAGGATGGGCTGGCTTTGAATGCCTTGCAGGTCCACTGGGAAGGCAACTAAGCAGAGAAGCCCGGGGCCTGGGCAGGCAGGGCAAGAAGGTCGAGGAACAGCTGGCCCTTAGGCTTTCCCAGGACTTTAAACCAATTCCAGGAAGTGAGCTAAGCCCCCAACCTCACTTTTTCTAAGAAACACAGCAAGTGTTTATATGTTCTCTGCAACTTCCTTTTTAGGACATTATCAGAGAAGGGAACATTTCATTTTGGGACACACAGTTCTCCTACTAGTGTGCCCAGAAAGGTTGCAGAGCCAAAGCAAGACCCAAGTGGCTTTGCAGTTAGAAGTTTGACTGAGCTACTTCATGTGTAGCCTTAAGCTGTAGAATCTGGCTGCGTAAGACCCTAGGTTTGATTCCCAATACTACTCAGAGGAGGGAAAAGATCTGAGAAGTTAATTTAGTTGGTAAAATATGTGACGTTGAGTGACTTCACATTAAAAAAGATAAATCTGGGACTGGAGAGATGGCTCTGAGGTTAAGAACACAAGCTGTTCTTCAGAGGACTCAAGTTTGATTCCCAGTCCCATATGATGGCTAACATCAATTGGAGTCTATAACTCCAATTCCAGGGGGAATCTGATGCCTCCTCCTGGCCTCCATGAGCACTGCAACACATGGTGCACACATATACATGCAGCAAAATACCCATACACATAAAAATTTAAAAATAAGTCATTAATTTTTTAAAAAAGATAAATTTAGGCATATGCTTGTAATCCCAACATGAAGGAAATAGAGAAAATTGAGTTCCTGGGGTTTACTAGCCATCTATCCTAGACTGATTGGCATACTCCAGATCCCATGAGAGACCCTGTCTCAGACTAGGAAAGAACTTAGTAAATAAAATGCTCATTACATAATCATGACCTGAATTTGGATCCTCAGGACCCACATAAAAGCTGGGCACAATGGCACACATCTATAATCCCAGTACTGGTGGGGATGGACAGGGAGAGACTGGTTACAGCCAAATCAGAGAACTCTGGATTCCAAATATTAGATGTTGAGTGACTGAGGAAGAACCTGATGTTCATCTCTAGTCTCTACATACTTTTATACATGCAAACCCGCAGTGGATGGCTCCTGAGTAAACACTAAGATTGTCTTCTAGTGGGATAGGGATTGTCAGTTTTAAGTTACCCCTCACCAATGTTCATGTAAATGACCCTAATTAAACTCATCAGATCACTAAAGAAAGTAAGTGTATGTCCTATAGTGCTAGAACCTTCCTCACTCAGATGTTGAAAGTAGATGAATCAAGACATCATGACAAGTATTTACTTTTGTTTCTCAAAGGTATGGAAGGGCTTTTGGAGGGTCTGGCACCTAGTGAGCATCTGCTAGGTTGATATAGATATCTATCTACATGTATATCTACCTTTCTATATATGATTTATTTTTAATTGTGTGTGCACATACTCATGAGAGCAAATGTGTGTGCAGGTACTTATAGAGGCCAGAAGATCTCCTGGAACTGGAGTTATGGTTGGTTGTTAGCAGCCCATCCTGGATGCTGAGAATTGAACTCAGGTCTGCTGGAAGAGCAGCAAGCATTCTTAATCACTGAGCTGTTTTCTAGCTCTAGGTGTTGGCTTATTATTGGTAGTTTGTCAAGAGATTTTTCTCAGTAAACTGATAATATATTTTACTGATTGGAGATGATGAAAATAAGGGAACTGAGGCTCAAAAAGTCTCAAGACATTTGCCTCATGTCACAAGACCAATCCTTGGATGCCACAGCAAGGCTCTTAAACCCATCTTCAAGACGGAGCTCCTATTGGACCGCTGCCCCAGAGCTGGCCGGGGACTTCTTGGCTAGGCCATATGTTGATGGTATCCTAAACCATCCATCTGACTTTCTGTCAACCCAGTGGGGCTTAGCTTCATCTCTCTCCTTACAGATGCCCAGAAATGCGAGCTCATTTGCCAGTCTGCAGACACTGGAGATGTGGTATTTATGAACCAAGTGGTCCATGATGGGACGCGCTGCAGCTATCGGGACCCTTATAGTGTCTGTGCACGCGGCGAGTGTGTGGTGGGTACCCGGCAAACTGTTTATACTCTGCCAGCTCACAGGGCCTGGAGGGCTACCTGCCGCCTCTTGGTTCCCTTAAGGACAGTTAGGACTACTGCAAGAGGGGTCCCTTTCTGCCCTACACCATTAAGAAAGGCAATTTGAGAATCATTAGCTACCACACTGGATTAAGATTTCACCTGGCTCACAGGGTGAATTTTTGGGCTTTCTCATGTGCCAGGGTTCCCCCTTTGGCCAGGGCCAGAAGGCTTAGGAGGGAGCCAGGGGACCTAAGAGGCGGGCAGGGCAACCTCCTTCTACTGACCTCATCTCCACCCCCAGCCCTTTGGTTGTGACAAAGAAGTGGGATCCATGAAGGCAGATGACAAGTGTGGTGTCTGCGGTGGGGACAACTCTCACTGCAGGACTGTGAAGGGGACCCTGGGGAAGGCCACTAAGCAGGCAGGTAAGCACGATTGGGTCTGTGGGGGGATGTGTTTCTCCTTGACCAATGCTGGGGAGGGGAGGGTTCTGGAATATGTCTGCTGACCTCTGGCTGCCAGTATTGGTCACTCCTCTTCCTGGCATGCTAGCATAGACCCAGAACCCAGGAGCTCTTTTTGGGGGGGGGGGTTAGGTTACATGGGAGGACATGTACCCAGTCATCTCTTTGATCCTGGCCTTTGGGAGGAACGAGGGCTCAGATAGTATTAATGGCATCGCCATGACTAGACTGCTCATTCTATTCTTATTTTAAAGTCTGGGACAATTTCTGGTACCTTGAGTTCTTTAGTTTCCACCTCCCTCCTTACCAGTCTTTCTGTAGACGAGGACCAGTACTTACCCTTTACACTCCTGTGTGGTCCTCTTTGCCTCGCTTTTTGAATCAGGGGAAGGTTGGTGACCAAGAAAGGCTTGTTTCCAAGCTTTGGATCTTCATGGCTGATTTCACCTAAATCTCTACAGTAGCTTAGGAAGGAAAGAAGGGGAGGGAAGGTCAGAGAAATGAAAAGAAAAGAAAGCAGAAAAACAGGCCAAGACAGCTACATGTGGAAGTGATCCTTAGAGGCCACTTGGAGCCACAGCTTCGCATGTGCCCTCCTGTCCTTGTCTGGACGGTACCAACCCTGGTTCCATCTAAGGATGCTGCCTTGTTCTGAAAGGGTTTATGACTGTGAAGTGGTGTGGGGGTGAGGTGGGTGGGGCACTGAGCAGGGATCCACCCTCTAAGGACTCTCTTTGCCTTTCTGGATGCCTCTGGTTGGCAGCAGCTCTCAAACAGGTGCAGATCCCAGCAGGTGCCAGGCACATTCAGATTGAGTTGCTGGAGAAGGTGCCCCACCGCATTGGTGAGTTCTGTGTGTGGGAGGATAGAGAGGATTCCAGAGAACTTAGATAAAGGCAGACAACTGTTTTTAATTCTTTAATTTATGCTGAGTGGGCAAACTATCCATAGCTCAAATTTCCTAAGGTCTAAAGGGGAACGCAATAGAAACCCATTCTTCAAGACTGGTCTCTTCCCACTAGGAGCAACTACTGTTAGAATTTCTCATGTTAAAGAAAAGTCATTTTCGCAGAAGAGCTCAGGCAGCTCTGCTGCACGGCACACCGCCCAGATCATAAGGGTAAGAGGCAACAGTTGTTACAGGATCTCAGTTCTGTGGCCATGGTCATAGCCAGCTCAGCTGGGTGACTGGTTGCCTGAACCCAAATCGGCAAACACTGGCAGCTTGTGGGTTGGTTGGGAGCTACTTGGTCTAGGAAGGGTAGAGATAGCATTGTCAGTCGGCTGAGCCATGACTGACCCCAACAAGCAAATCTGCGAATAGTCACTGGGCGTCTGTCCCATGACCATCTTCATTTGGACGTCTGTCCCATGGCCATCTGCAGTAGCAAGAGAAAGTGGGCCCCAAGGCAAAAGCACTTGGAAAGCCTCCACATTGTTTCCTAACATTGCATTGACCCAAGTCACCAAAGTCCTTCAATGGTTGGAAGCACACTTCATGTTTCCTCATGGAAGATGTGGTAAAATCATAGGGCTAGGAGGAGTGGTCAGCCGTTTCTACAGTCCACCATCTGGACCCTATATCTATTACAATGCTACTTAAACAGTTACTAAATAAGGTGTGATGTTTATACAAACATGAAGCCAAGACAGATTGAAAATTAGGTTCCCAGAAGCTGGGGAGATGGCTCAGTGGGCAGTGTTTGCCATGTGAGTATGAGTCCCTGGGCTTGGCCCCCCAGGACCCACATAAGAGCCAGCACAGCTGTGTGTGTCTGTAATCACAGCACTTCAACAGTGGTTGCAAAAGATCCTTGGAGCTGGGCTGGAGAGATGACTCAGTGGTTATGAGAATGGCTTGCTCTTCCAAAGGTCCTGAGCTCAATTTCCAGCAACCCTTCGGTAGCTCACAACCATCTGTAATGAGATCTGGTGCCCTCTTCTGGCCTACAGGTGTACATGCAGGTAGAACACTATATATAATAAATAAATGTACCTATTTAAAAAAAAAAAAAAAAGAAAGAAAGAAAGACCCCTGGAGCTGGACCCAGCTAAATTTCTGAGCCTTGTGTTCATCTAGAGTCCCTGCCTCAAAAATAAGTAAATAGATAAATAAGGTAGAGTGACCAAGGAAGATTGTGACAGAGATCCCTGACCTCTGTGTTACACCACACACATGAATGCACACATACACAAACATGTACATACATGAAAAGTGTACACACACACACACACACACACACACGTGCTAAACAATTACTGGTTGCACACTTTAATAGGTGAATTACACGATGTGGATTGCATCTCAGTTACAAACCCAAAAGCACAGTTTGGAGCCCAGCCTGGCAGCTGTGGGCAGTGGCTGCTTCTGCTGTCGGTCTGTGATCAGACCCCATAGTGAGGGTATATAGGCTACGATATCACTGTGGCATGTCACAGAGGCCTTTCCAGCCTGTTAGGCTACTCAGTCCTGCCACTTTCCATTTATACATCACAAAGACTAACATGAAATGCGGTGTTTCTTGGCAAGCTCAGCTATCACAAAAATGTTCCCAATCATTGTTCTAGATTATTATTGGTAACACGAGGAGCTTCCTGGAGCTGGGTCTCTTTCTAGGGCAGCTGTTGTGGATCCCACTCTGGCTTTGAGAGCACCTTTCAAAAGCCATACTACATCCACACAGTGGCCATCCAGGGCCTCCTCTACATTCTGAGTCACTATGGGGGGGGGGGGAGGAGATGAGACAGAGCTATCCTGGGTCCTGATCTCCTAGCAACAGCATCATGCCATTGTCAGATCTAATGACTACAGTGGTAGCAACTGGTGCACATCACAGATTGCTGAGGCTGTTAACATACATGAGTTCCTTTCATTGCCTTGGAGTATGTGTGTGTGTGTGTGTGTGTGTGTGTGTGTGTGTGTGTGTGTGTGTTGGTGGTGGTTAGGGGGGTTATTCTACCTGGGCAAGCAAACCTATGTGTTGGCTACAGCAATCAGTCTCCCTTTATAGAAGGTAAAGCTGAGGCTGAGCAGAGACAAAGTAACTTCTCTGTGACTAGCTTGCTCTTCTATGCTCTGTGCTTTGCTACAGATCCTACAGGGACAGCAGCACCTCTGAAGGCTGGGACTTTTGGAAAAGGTTAAAGGGAGTCTAGCTGTAGGTGGCCATCAGTCAGTGTGGAAGAGAGAGGTGATACAGGGTCAGTGGTGTACATCTGGGCCCAGAGGCAGGATGGGTTTGTGGAGGGCTACTGGGCGGCCCTGATGGGAGAGCTCAGGGGGATAAGTAGGCAAGGAACCTGAGGAGGGGCATCCTGGGAAAGCCGAGAATGTCAGAGCCACTGGCCTCTGTAGAGGGCTATAGAAAACTCTGCCCCTCTCCCCTGGCTAGCTGTGAAGAACCAGGTGACCGGAAGCTTCATTCTCAACCCCAAGGGCAAGGAAGCCTCTAGCAGGGCCTTCACTGCACTGGGCCTGGAGTGGGAGCATGCAGCAGAGGACACCAAGGACAGCCTTAAGACCAGTGGGCCCCTGCCTGAAGCCATCGCCGTGCTGGTGAGTGTCCTTGCCTGCCGTGACCTTTCCTGTCTTTTGTGTCCACATTTTAAATGGCCTTTCCCAGGTGTATGGGAGGCCAAATACAGCAGTTATATGCTCCCTGGCATGGCATGGTCTGGAAGGACAGCCCCATGAAGCTAGGGCTAGTTCCCATGTCCTTACAGCATCCCCCAACATCCACATGCATTGTGGCAGAGTAATATGTGTGAGGCCTAATGTGGTTTTGGGCCTTCAAGGAAGCTGGCCTGAAGTGACCATGGCAGTACCAGCCTCTGAGGTCCATTGCTGCCTATCCTCCCTTTCCTATTCCTAGCCCAGGGCTTATGGAGCAGGAGTTGATGATTCAGCAGATTGGCCTACAAGAGTTTTGTCCCCCATGTCTTCAGCCTGAGCTGACAACAAGGGGCCTTGGATAGGCTTTGTTCCTGGTATTGCCCACAGTGGTCGGTGTTCTGGAGGGCAAATTTTGAGGTTTTTGTTTTAAGACTTCTGTGTGACACATACTTCTGGCCTTGCGCTGCCTCCTGCTTGTCTCCCCTCAGGTGCTTCCCCCAGCTGAGGGTAAACCCCGAGGGAGCCTGGCCTACAAGTATGTCATCCACGAGGACCTGCTGCCCCTCATTGGGAGCAATAATGTGCTCCTGGAAGAGACGGACACCTATGAGTGGGCTCTCAAGAGCTGGTCTCCTTGCAGCAAGGCCTGTGGAGGAGGTATCAGCTGTTGTGGTCCTACAGTTCCTTGTGGAGAGCGGCAGGGGTGGGGGAGAATAGAATACAGATTCTGGGTGGGAGTCAGGAAGCGGTGTCTATTTGATGTGTCACTGCTCTTGCCTCAGTTTTTCCTTGACGATCTCCCGCACCCAGAAGCCATTCTGAGCAGGGCATTGGGTGGAGCTGGGGCTTTCAAGAGCAGGCTTCAGAGCAGGTTGTCTGGTCAGCTGCCCCAAGCCACATCTCCCTCACCAGTGCTGACAGAAGGAAGCATCCTCCAGGGAGTTACTTGTGTAGGGCAGAGTGTTGAGGCAAGGAGGGAAACAGGCTATCTAGAAAGTCCCCCCTAAGGACAAGAACGGGGCAGGAGGCCTGGAGCAGAAGGCCTCAAAGTGGCCCACAGCAGTGCAACCTTTGCAGGAATCCAGTTCACTAAATATGGCTGCCGGCGCCGCCGGGACCACCACATGGTACAGCGGCACCTGTGTGACCACAAAAAGAGGCCCAAGCCTATTCGGCGGCGTTGTAACCAGCACCCGTGTCCCCAGCCCACGTGAGTGTTCCAGGGGAACAAAGTCTGTCTCCTGCCTCTTTCCACCCTGGCCCACAAGGTAGCTAAAGTTGCTACCATGGTACTTCCTCATGCAGGAAGCCTGCAGCCAGGTACTTGGGGAAACACAGCAGCCCGCACAAGGCTCTGTGGCCACCCTCTGTGGCCAGCCATCTCTGTTGGGTTTCTTTATTGCCAATCTCCAGTGCCAGAAAGAGGATGGCACCACCTGGTTTGCCCCAACTAGCATTTTTTCACTGGTGGGGCATGAGCTTTCTGTTGGTGAGGTGAGAATTCTATCTATTGCCTTCTAGGAATCTAGCCCCCAGCAATTCCAATCACTGGTTAAGATTCCCTAGCCTTCGGGGAACAGGCTGTTTGGATCCCCAGGTCATGTTTTTAGGATTATTCAAGAGTGTGAAGGGAGGTACTTGAGCTGGCTTAAGAACTCCAGGGCCTCCCATCATTCTGTGGCAGTGCTGCCTGGGGATCCCCAGAGAGGTGGGGGGTAGCTGCTTGGTAGGAAACTGCAGAGGGTCTTCTTCACTGGGAATGGCTCCTGGCTAGGGACAAGGGCACCCTGGAGCCTGGGGGAATCTCCAGGGCTGGACATGTGATCTGGGGCTAGGGTGGGATTAATAGTTAACACTAGTCTACTGTGATTCCCTGTGCACTACCAGGCAAGGACATAGTGTCCTTGTCACCCCCTCTGTGTCCCCCTCCCCATTAGTTTATGCTGTCATTCATAGGACTTCCTACAACTGTGATTGTGAGGCATGCATGCAGGACTAACAGTCTAAGAGTCTGGGGTGGGTTATTCCCCAACCAATTTTAGGGTTTACTGGGGGATTTTCTTTCTTCTCCTCCTCTTCCTCCTACTCCCATCCCCTTTTTTTTCCCCCTCTTTAACTGTCTCATCTTCCCCCCCCATCTCTGGGGTGTGTGTGTGTGTGTGTGTGTGTGTGTGTGTGTGTGTGTGTGTGGTATGATAAACCGCAATCCAGGCCAGCTTCCAACTCTCAACCATTCTCCTGCTTCAGCCTCCCAAGTGTTGAGATTACAGAATATTTGACCACACCTGTTGAGATTTGTTCTTTAAAGAAAAAGCTTGACTTTGAGAACGTCCCTCCCACTCCAGTTAGCGAAAAGACAAGGAGCTGGGGCCCCTTCCCTCTACCCTTGGAATGCCTAGGCTGTTGCCTAATGTCCTTGGCTCTGCTGCTGAGAAGTTTGCAGACCCTCACTACATAGCTGCAGGTGCTGGAGCCCTGTGGGTGCTAAGAGCAACCTAGTAGCACTCTTGTCCCCACCAGAGGGAACATCATGAGAAGTGTGACTTTGGTGTTTGGGGGCACCCTTGAGGCTCAGTATCCAGTACAGTTCCTTCCTATGGTAGCTCTGAACTCTTTATGGGGTACTAAAGCAACCCCAATGAAATTATGGAGAGACTGAGGGTTGGTGGAATTAACAGCTACTCAAGGACACTAAGGGGCTAGGATTTAAATAGGTACCTTTCCCTTACCCAAGGAGACAACAGGAGAGACTAGCAACCTCCCAGAGACCACCTAACGAGGCAGTAGCAATCTGAAGCACATGCCTCCTTTGGTGGGCCCCAAAGGAAAGTGTCCCTACGGTCCCACTCCCCTCCATCTCTGTCCTGTCTGTCTCCAGGTGGGTGGCAGAAGAGTGGAGTGCCTGCAGTCGGACCTGTGGGAAGCTGGGGCTGCAGACTCGGGGGGTGCAGTGCCTACTGCCCCTCTTCAACGGCAGCCACAAGGCCATGCCAGCCAAGGCTTGCCTAGGTAACCGGCCAGAGGCCAAGAGGCCGTGCCTCCGTGTACCCTGCCCAGCCCAGTGGCGGACAGGAGCCTGGTCCCAGGTGAGTGGTCCTTACAGAGTGGATGGGAGCATGTGGGACAGAGATGGGTGTGGCTAGGGGAAAAGTCATCTGAGCTCTGGTGTACTGATGGGCAGAGTTTCTGGGCCCATAGTTGATGTGACATTTCTCAGAAGGAAGGACAGCAGCCCTCAGGCATGCTGTGCGTGCATGTTCATGGAGACTCCTGCCTCCGTTTTCACCTCCTCTGAGTGCCATGTCCCGATGTCACAGACGAGCAAATTAAGGCATGTTCTTATGTTCCAGAAATATTTACTGAGCAACAACTGTATGCCAGGTGTTATTCAAGGAAGGCTGGAAGCCCAATCACCGGGCAGGCAGGCTGCTCACTCCCATAGAGCTTTCAGACTAGTGAGAAAATAAGACAAACAAGCTAGCAACAGATGTTACACACCACAGCTGGACCTGCAAGGGTTACAGGGGATGTGACAGGCACAAGGGAGGAGGAGACATGAAGTCCCTGATTCCCTTTGGTTTTTCAGTGACACTTGTGTCTTGACTGGAGGTCACATGTCCCAGTACAAGTTCTTCCCCATCCTGCTAGGAGAGTTTATAGTCAGTGCCTACAAGTGACCCAGACACATTGAGTAATAGTAATAGGGCTTTTCCAGGGACTCTGACCTGCCACCCCCAGGATCCCCCCCAGTCCATTTACCACAGTCAGTAGTGTGTCAAATACAAGGAAGGTGTGTGGGTGGCATCAATGGCCTTGTACACAGAGGCCAGTTTGCCTTCTGTCCTTGAGTGATGTTTCTCCTGGGGCGGGGGGAGGAAACCCTGTGGACACACACTTGAGAATCCATGTTGGGTAAAAGGAGCTCCAACATTATTGAAGACCTGGTCCCTAGCTCTTCTGGTTTACAGAGTTAGAAGCAGAGCAATGCCACAGTCTGGGCTCCTGCAAGCCCCAGGTCATGTCATGTGCTAAGTCAGAACAGAGGAGCCTGCCAGAGTGAAACATGAAATAGTTGAGAATTGGGCATAGACTGGAGACTGAACACAGGTCACAGCTGATGGAATAGGGTCCCAGAAGCCCTCTCCTGAGATGTGTTCATAGTTCAAGTTGTGGGAAAATCTAGGGAGTTCCTTGCTTGGTGGGTCCTGGTGAGGCTACAGGCCTTGCATGCCCGTCTGATCAACAGAAGGCATAGCAGCCTTCTTGGTACTTTCTGTCGCTAAGTTCACTGCCCACTCCTCTCTCTCATATCTAACCCTGTGCCTGGCATTGTGGTTCTTGGCCCTCTTGTTCCTTTACAGTGCTCTGCCACCTGTGGAGAAGGCATCCAGCAACGGCAGGTGGTATGCAGGAACATCTCCAATACCCTTGGGCAGTGCGAGGGGGTCAAGCCAGACACTGTGCAGGTCTGCAGCCTGCCTGCCTGTGGAGGTAAGCAGATGGGGTGGGGAGACCTAGCCCAATTCTCTGGCCCTGACCGTGCAGCAGCACGTATCCTTTGAAAGTCCAAAGCATGATGAGCATCCCTAGTCAAACTGCTTGCCGATCCAGAACTTTTGGAGTCTGGGCATGCTGCCATGGATGGAAGGTTCCATTCCTGACTGCATAGGAGATGTTGTGATCAAAATATAATACCCAGTTAGTCAGCACCCTTGAGGAGGAAAAAAACGACCTTCCCAGGCCCTTCTACTTTTATATATAAACCTCATCTCACTTCCCAAAATTACCTGCACACTTTATGTGTAAGAAACAAATGGGACCATCAGGATGGCTCACTTGTTGCCAAACCTGATGACCTGACTTCAGTCTCGTTGGAAAGTCTACTTTCCAACTTGAAGAACTGACTTCTTCAAGCTGTCCTTTGACCTCTGCACATGCAAAGTGGGGCACACATACTCATGCTTGTACACATGCAACAAAATAGAAATAAACGGCATTAAAAAAAAAAGAAAGAAAGAAAGAGATGCACCCATGTTTAGACTTGGGTCTCATTAAGTCTTTGCAAATATTCCCAGTTTCAGGAGAAATAATTAAAATTGGAATGTTTCTGGTCCCAAAGCATTCTGGGTAAGGGATGCCCACCTGTGTGTGTATACTACGGCTCCGTCTCTGTTCACAGAAGATCTTCAGAACTCTACGGGGAAGGCTGATGTCTATGAGCGTGTGACCGAAGTGGGACCCTGGGAACCACAATACAGGCCCCTAACGCCCACGAACAGGATTTCAGCAAGTAAGCATAGCCTTTGGCCCTTCCCCTCCCCCAACTTTCCAGGGGGCCAGTGGAATGAACCTAGTGCCTACCTGCCTGGGTGGCCTCAGAGAGTATGAATAATGCCATTCTGGTCCATGCCCTCTTCTGTGATTTGCATTATCCCTGAGAGCTTTGCTTCTAAGTTTGGTGTTATTCCTATGGTGGACAAACTTGATCTACTCTAAAAAGAAATCACATAGGCTTCTGCTGCAAAGACATTGCCATGCTTGGTGACAATACTGTCCCACTGTTGTGAGGGTGTCCTGTTTTATAAATTCATAGAACATGTCTCAGAGTTCTGAATTCTGAATCCTGTCTGCTTCTACACTTCTGGGGTCTGCAGTCATAGATACTGCAGACCCGAGACAGTCAGGGAAGCTGAGAGAATGAACCATGCAGTGAGCTCATCACAGGGGTAGCCAATAATTCATTCTGTGGTCTCTCGGTTTTGTCTTTATGAATGAAGACTTGCCCTGTACCTGCTATGCTACACGCCCTTCCTAGGTTACCAGAGTCCTCTCTCTTACTCCCTCTGACTGGGGTCTTGCAAGATGATTTGCAGAAAGATCAAAACCCAATTCTAGTTAAAGAATATGACCTTATGCAACCTGTTGACCTCTCTGCCGCCCACCCTCCAAAATCTCTCAGAGCAAAAGCTGGCTTTCTGATCCTGGCTCTGGAGCTTTGGCGCCATCTACAGGTCACTGGCTTCCATTACTTCGGCTCCTGATCCCAGCCAGCAGCCCTAAGCACCAATTAGTACAAAGCTGGAGCTCTTGCCATCACATTCTTTCTAAAGAGCTGTGCCTGGACCATTCATAGCAGCAATTTAGAACACTTCAACCTCAATGTTCTTGATTGAGATTTTAGTGGTAGTGGCTTGATGCCAATCTGCTGGTTACAGGTGAGCTCAACAACCTTCTTTGCCTGACCATTGGCTGCAGGGTTCATTGGGTGGCCAGGAGAGGCAGGGGCTCTGGCTTCCTCCTAGAGCATAGTTCTCTTACTTGAATCTAGACTTTCAGTCCCCAGTCCAGACTCCCCAAGTAGAGCTTTTTGATGAAGACTGTGCATAGCTGAATGATTGAATTAGACAGAGACATAGTCATTGGGTTTTCCCATGCACTGGAAGCTGTTGGAGGGTTCATTAAAACAGGGCTGCCCTACCCCAGAGGTTTTGGTGCAGCAGGTCTGCATAGAACCTGACAATTAGCCTCACCACCAAGGTTCCAGCAATGCTAATACTGGCGATGGGGGGTGGGGAGCCACTTTAGTGTCTCTTCCCTGTGGGAGAGTTCTGTCCTTTTGGGTGGAACTATGGCCCCTCTGGAATAGGCTATGTAGCGATTCCAGCTAGGGCATAAAAAAGGAGGAAGGACTGCTGGTGGAGCAAGTCATAGTGTCCCCTCCTGATGGGCATCCCTCTGCCTTGGTGTATGTGCAGCGGAACACTGTGTGGGAGACAGGTCCATCTTCTGTCGGATGAAAGTACTGGACCGCTACTGCAGCATCCCTGGCTATCACCGGCTGTGCTGTGAGTCTTGCACCAAGAAGGCCTCAAGCCCCAATGCCAGCCTGTCCTCACTACCCACCTTCTCCATTCCTGGGAGTCCCTTGACAGAACCCAAGGCCACCCAGGAAGATGTGGAGTCTACAGGGGTGCCGACCAGAGTGGAAGACCATCGTCAAAGCCATCCCACACAGCTACCAGGGCTGGTGGACAGGATCTCCTCGGGGACACAGCATCCCTTCACCCCCCAGATGCTAAGCCCTAGCACATTTGAGGGCAATTCTGCCACCCCACCATTTTCAGGCTGGACCCAAACAGATGAGCCAGCCTCTGCGGGCCAAGGACAGTCCAGGGAGGAACCGGGACATAGAGGCACCAGCTTTCCTGCTACCTCCCTGGTGACTTGAACCCATCATCCCTCTGGTCATGTTTACACTCTGCTTGTGGTCCCAGTGACCCTGCTCAGAGGACTCAAACACAGGGGACAGGAAGTAGCACAGGTTTCCTTTTAAATTATTTGCCCTCTTGTTCTGTTTGGGGCTGTGATGCTCTTGACCCCATGACAGGGTTGGGGGAAGAGAGATCAGGGAATTCCCTAACCAGAAATACCTCAGCCAGCAGGGCTCAGGCTCCACCTCCAAGTGGCTCCTGAGATCCCTTCCTCCAAGCTCAATAAAGCACCTTCCCACAGACAAGCCATGGGGGGTGGGCAGTGTGAAGCTCATGCAGGGGCCTGTCAGAGATGCTTGCTTGTCCCTGACTTTGACTACCAGAGAGACCTACCTGCACAGCCCCCTCCTCACAAAGGTAAAATGGGGTAGAGGCTGGGAGAGGTGGGGATACTCAAAGACAGACTGGGCAGCAGTGGTGGTGTTCCCTGATGCAGGGTCAGACAGGGGAGAGAAATTTTTCTCAGGCCTGGCTCCTGTCAGCTGAGGGCTGCTAATAACTCTCTGACAGAGACTAGTTCACCTTTGCTGGCTGTGGAGCCACTTTTGTAGCTCGCTCTGTCCTTGTAGATGTCACTGCTGGTGACTTCAGACTTCAGGTTATAGACTGACCTCCATATATATATATATATATACATTTTTTTTTTGCTTTTTTTTTTTGAGACAGGGTTTCTCTGTGTAGCCCTGGAACTCCATAGACCAGGCTGTCCTAGAACTCACAAAGATCCATCTGCCTCTATCCACCCAGCTCTGACCTCCCAATATTGCATCCATGCCACCAGAGGAGGATACATAGCTTCAACATCCAGGAGTTTCCAAGCTAGGGCTTGACCCCTGGTTGGACCTGGAACAACTTCAGTCATCACTAGGACTTGAAGGAGGCCGATCCTGAAAGGTGACCACCAGGTACCAGAGAGATGTCACTTCCCAGACTGTACCCCTTTGTCATCACTCTGCTGAGGACGGCTTCTGCCGTCTTCCCTTCTGGATCCAGCTTGGACAGAATGTGTGATGCTCAGATAGTCAGGCAGGTGGAAGTCACTAGAGTCCACTCAGCTGGACCTTGTGGATGGCCCAGGCAGGATGCCAGCTGCTGCTCCTGGTTAGGGTAGGAAGGATATGCGAAGCCAAGCTCACCTTCCATGGCCCTCTGGCTCTCAGGAAATAGCCTAGATCCTCACTTTCAGGGTCAGTGGAAGGAGTGCTTATTTGTCCCCCTTCCCCAGATGGAAGAAGGAAGCCTTGTGCCCCTGGCCTGCGAGTTCCGTGGGGAGCAGGGATGCTGGGGACTCTGTGCACCTTTCCCATCACTGCTCTCCCCTTTGCAGGTGGCTGGGGCCACTCTGAGTCAGTCCTGTGTGGACTAGCCTGGAGATTCTGACTTTTAACATGTTACCTATTTATTAACATTGCTCTCAGTGTTTTGTCTTGGACTCCAAAAGTGGTGCTGTGGGGTGTGTGTGTGTGTGTACTTTAAGGGCTGGGTCCAGCAGTTATAAGATAATTGTAGGTGGGAGCATAGAAGGAAGAGCCACCAAGGGGCTGATGGCTTTGGGCAAGCCACCACACAAAGGATGGTGATGGCTAGGCGGTATCTTTGGGGGCCCATGGCCAAAAAAAAAAAAAAAAAAAAAAAAAAATTGCAACTCTGCAATGGGTGGTTGCCTTGGAAGGTGGTGGTGAAAGAGTTCTTCCCTGGAAGGATCCAAGCAGAAGCTGGATGCCAAGCAGCAGGAAGGGTTGTGGTGCATCTTATTGGGCAAGAAGGGCTGTTGTGAAACTCACTGTGCAATTTTAAAGTACCAGTACATTGGGTTGGATTCAGCTTAGTTGGTAGAGTGTTTGCCTGACATGCAAGAGTCCCTGGGTCCCCAGCTCTGCAGAGGTAGGGGAGGGGGGGGAGAAAGAACCAGTCTGTGACTTAGCTCCTGTTGGTAGGTAGAGTGTTTGCCTTGCATGCCCGAGATCCTGGGTTTAATCCCTAGCACTGCCAAGAGAGAGGGACTGGATGGGGTTAGGGGGCGGGGATGATGAAAGAATCAATCCATGTTTTGCTTTGTGTCTGTCAGACATCAATAATCTGCCACTACACTGCTCTTCCCTGGCATTTGTGGGAGCCTGGCAAAGACCATACAGACACCCAACATTCCCAACCTAGAGCACCTGACTCTTCTGACCTGCAAGGACTTTTTCACACCTGTGTGGACAGGGCAGGCTTCACAGCCAAGCTCCATCTCCACCACTTTGACAGAACGCCTGCTACTGAGATCTGTGGACGCCACACAGGCCTGGGGCTGCACATCTCGGAGGCCTGACCTAGGGAGATGGTGTTAGAGGCCCCAGCTCTAGCTATGGTCTGGCTTATTGAACAGGGCAGAGAGACATGTAGAACACACCATATGTCCCCAGCTTGAGCTAACAGCAGACATTATCAGTTCATCATTGTACTTTTACCCTGAATTGCTCTAGGCAGTGGCCAGTGGGGTCTGTCTCGATGTTATACAATGGGAGAAAACTTTACTCAATCAGCATCTAGGTTTCAGTGCCCCAGGCAAGGAAGAGGCCCAGAAACCAAGGGACTTCTGGGGTTCCACACATCCTTGGGGCCCACAGAGTCCATGCTGGGCATGAGGCCTTGCCAACAGGTCCTGAGTTCTAGCATTCTTGGGGTCCCTGAGCCTGTCTGTACACATGAACAGAGAGTGGGCTGGGGGTATGGCTCAGGTGTTAATGCTTTTATTAGCATGCTGACAAGTTTCTGTCAACTTGACACTGACCTAGACTTATCTGGGCAAAGGGAATCTGGGTTGAGGAATTGTCTCTCCATCAGATTGGCCTGTGGGCATGTCTACGGGGTCACTTTCTTTATTAATGACAGGAGAGAGCCTATACCACATGGACAGTTCCATCCCTGGTTAGGTGTAAGAAAGCAAGCTGAATAAGCCAGAAAAATGTTTTCCTTCGTGGTTCCTGCCTCTGCTTTTACTTGACTTCCTGCACTGACTTCTCCAGATAACTGATTGTCATCAGGGCATGTAAGCCCAAATAAACCCTTTCATCCCCAAATTGCTTTTGGTCAGTGTTTTATAAGAGCAACAGAGAAGCAAACTAGCATCTAGCATGCAGGAAGCTGTGTGTTCCTTCACCAGCATCACATTATGGAGATGTGGTACTGTGTGCTTGTAATCCTAAATCCTAGCACTTTGGGAAGTGGAACAAGAGGATCCTAAACTTAAAGTCATCTGATGTTATGTAATTCAAGGCCAGCCTCGGATACTTGAAACCCTACCCTAGAAAGAGATGGAGATGGGGAGGCGGAGGGAGCATGGTTTTATCTTGACTACCTTGAAAACAGTGTAACTGAAAAAATGTCACTGAGCTTCCTGTGTGACTATGGGAATAGCTTCCCTTCCCAGGGGCTTGGCTACTATTGTAGGCAACTGAGCTAGGCTCACCACTAGGCAATGGTGAAGCCAAGAGACTTGGAAAGCACCTGGGAGCTTCTCCCAGCCTGGAAGCTGCTGGTGCATGATAAGACCATTGAGCATGGGGTGTCAGAGGGCTGAGTACTCCAGAGTGGGTAGCCAGGGTTTACAGCAGAGCTTAGTGGGGCTCTGGAACTTCAGGCGAAACATGAAGACAAGGGTGTATTGTTGCCTAAGAGCTTTTGCCAAGAACAAGAACAGAGCAGACTCAGCTCTGGTGTTACATGTTCAGCACAAGTACTTCAGCCTTCTCTGGCCTTTGTTGCTTTTTGATCTGTGTGCTGATTAGAAGCATGGGCCACTAATGCCTATTAAATGCAGCATGTTCTATGGATTATCTCTTTGAGTCCTCATGGTGAGATCACTGCTATTGTTATGCCCATGTGCATAGGGGTCCAAGACAACCTCAGGTGTCAGTCCTAGCCTTCCACCTTGTTTGAGACAGGGCCCCTTGCTATCTACCACTCTGTGTACCAGGATAGCTGGCCCATAGGCTTCCAAAGAATCTCCTGTCTCTTTCACCCATGGAAGTGCTAGGATTACAGATGTACACGGCTGTGTCTAGCTTTTCTGTGGGTTCTAAGTATCCAAACCAGGTCATTCAACCATCTCCCAAGCCCACAAATTGTTTCTTTAAGCACCTTATCTAGTTATAACATGAATACCCACCTCCTAAAAGTTCTGCGTAAATTAAAGATTTAAGAATTGAAGATAAAGCCAGGCTTGGTGGTGCATGCCTGTAGTCCCAGCACATGGGAAGTAGAAACAGAAGGATCAGGAGTTCAAGGCCATGCTCCAGAACATACTGAGTTCAAAGACAGACTATGGGACAGATTTGCCTGCCATTGGTAAAAATGTTTCTCTGTCCCTTTCTCAGCTATTGGAGTGGAACAGGGAGGGCCCAATTGTTGAGCAAGCAGACTGGGTGTGAGAAGCAGGACCTGGAACATTCCTCTGTGTGTCCACAGAGCTGTCTTCATTGTAACACTGTTTTGCCATCTCTTCCAATCAATACTCTCCAAGGTGTGGACAGAATGTTCTAGTAGTAGCAGAATAGATGAACTTAGGTGATGCAGAGAAACATTTTATTTAGAGTAAGTGGAGCTTTTTAATTTACATTTTTCCATTTCATATTCTTCCCTTCCCCCAAGTCCTTACAGATCCTCTTCCTTTCCCTACCCAATTTATCTTTTATTTAAAGCGTTTATTACATTTCACTGAGTGGGGGGAGAATGTTTGGGGACACATATGCTATGACACAGTAGTTGTAGAAGTCAGAGAACTTGGAAGTAGTTTGTTTTTCCTTCTACCATGTAGGCCCTGAGGAATCTAACTCTGGTCATTAGGCTTAGCAGCAAGTGTCCTTACCCACAGAGCCATCTTGCAAGCCCCAGAACTTATTTTTATGTACAGGAGAAACTTTTACAAACAATACACCAAAATAATGATGTGGGGAGACTATTACTTGGAATGGAATTGCATCTAGGAATAAAATGTAAAAAAATATTTATAAATTTAAAGAAATATTAGGAATTGAGTAGATGATCAGCAAGCACTTGTAACAAAATTTATGGTGGGAAGGTGGGCATGGTTCATATTTAGGAATGAGAATAGGACAGAACTCTGATGATAAAGTTTCTAATTCTAGAGCCTTCTCTCTAGTGACCTACTTTTAGGTTAATTCTGGGTTCTTTTGTGGACATTTGATGTAGAAATCTATTGCTACACTTGTGATGCTTATCCCCAGAGAACCATAAGCAACAGGCAAAAGTGGGACCCACCTAGACCCCCCCATCAAAGGAGTAGATACATCAACAGTGTGGTCTAGGACAGGAAAGGGGATGTAACTCAGTGGTAGAGTGCAGCACACTTTTTATTTAGGTCACCAACCAGCTCCCAAATCATGACACAGAGATTTTTATTAGTTTTGAATGCTCAGCCTAGCTTAGGCTTGTTTCTAGCTAGCTCTTTTAATTTAACCTGTTTCCCTTTATCTACCTTTTGCCTGGGCTTTTTTTTTTTTTTTTTTTTTTTTTTTTACTTTTCTTTCCTTCCATATGTCTTACTTTCACTGCTCCTTGTGTCTGGCTGGCTTGGCACTTCTAAGCTGTGTTCTTAAACATGGCAAAGATGGTAAAAGTTTATGTAAAAAATAAGCATAAAAGTTAACACTTGGTTGTTTTTGTTGTTTTGTTTCGGTTTTTCTCCAAGATAGGATTTCTATGGTAGCCTTGGCCATCCTGGAACTTGTAGAACTCAAAGATTCACTTGACTCTGCCTCCCGCATGCTGGGATTAAAGACCTGTGCCACAACCACCCAGCAACACTTGGTATTTTCAATGTCTCAAGTATGGGAACGAATGTGGGAGAATCAGGGACATAAAGTGGGATATGTCTAGCACTTTGCCTCTAAGGAGTGGTAATGACCACTGATAGAATTCTGTTCCAGGACCAGCACAAAACCTTCCCAAGGTCATCTTGTGCTTGGTCCAGTGCTTATCTTCTCCATTAATCAGTAGTGTGCCACAGGACCAGGCTCTGACTGGACAGAGCTGGGCTTTCTGCAAACCTTGGAAGAGGAATGGACATCCCAGATAGTCACCCCTCACCCTGCAAATGGTTAAACCTATTCAACTCCAATTAAATTACAAGGGGCTCTCCTACCTCAAGATTAGCTCACTGATGGATTCCAGTTGTTGGGGGGTGATGGGAACTTTTGGAGTTGGATGGGAACTTGAGGACTAGCTGGAGGATGGCTCCCTCAATGGAGGGAGCATGTTTTCAGAGGCTGTGTCTTGTCCCAGGCTCCTCTCTGTTCTCCCTGCTTCTTGGCTGCAATGAGCAGCTGCCTCTATTCCATACTTTTATACACCATGGCATTTTGTTGTTATGATGTTCTGCCTCTCAGAACTATAGCAGGGTAGCCACTGACCAGGGACTGAAACTGTGAACCAAAATAAATGAGAATCCACAGTGACAGGTATTTACCCCATAGCAATACACCTTGAGAAATTAAAGGAGCCAGGGTGTTCTTGTCAACTGTGATTTTTTTGAAGCAAGTGCTGTCTAGGATTCTTTTACTATGTGGATATTTTACAGAGCATGTTAGTGAAGGCAGGTGATAGTATTAATGTCCCCTACGCTATGAACAGATCCTCTGTGGGGCTCATACCTTGATGAAGCTGTATGGTTTGGGCTGGAGATCTTGACTGCAACATCAATAATAACAGGCGACAGAAGACTGTGACACAGGTCACAACTTGTTCAACTCTTGAAGATGTTGTGCCAAGCAAAATAAACCTGACACAAAAAGACAAAGAGGATTCTACTAGCAGACACCTAGGAACTGCTTCCCTCAGACAGAAAATCAGATGGTGGTTTCCAGCAGTCAAGAACATGGGAATGGGAGCACACTGTTTTGTGGATGCTGTGGTTTGAATGTTTCTCCCCACTCCAAAAATTCTTCTGTTGAAAGGTGATAGTATTAGATACTGTCCCCGAGGTGGCGGCTGGTAGTATTAAGAAACTGGAACTTGGCCAAGTATGGTGGCTCACATTTTGTAACCCCAGCTCTTGAAAGGATTTTAAGTTCGGAGCCCATCTGGGCTAAATGGTGAGCCCGTCTCAATTTGAAAACAAGGCCTTTGGAAAGGTTTGGGACATAAGGGTTCTGACTCCATGTAAAGGAAGTGAATAGGCACCATTCTGCCATACATGGCATACACAAGGTACCATCTAAGAGTGGCAGTTCCTCACCAGATCCCAAACAACATCCAGAGCTTGAAATGAACTTCAGTTGTCTATGAATTACCTAATCCAAGGTATTTTTGTGGTAGTAGTTTACCAGACAAGACAAAGACTTCAGGTGCAGAGTCTCACTTCTGCAAGATGGAATAGTTTCAAAGATGGATGGAGTGATGGCTCCACAACGGAGGGACCGCTACCCTTCTGTCTTAGTGTTCTGTTGCTGTGAAGAGACACCATGAGCACAACAACCCTTATAAAAGCATTTAGTTGGGGCGGCTTACAGTTTCAGAGGTTTAGTCCATTGTCATGGCAGGAAGCATGGCAGCACAGACAGACAGACATGGTACTGGAGAGGTAGCTGAGAGTTCTTACATCTGATTCCACAGGTAGTGTGTGTGTGGGAGAGAGAGAGTGTGTGTGTGTGTGTGAGTCTGGCATAGGCTTTTGAAACTTTAAAGCCCACCCCCAGTGACACACCTACTAATCCATTCATATAGTGCCACTCCCTAAGCATCTAAGTGTATGGTCTTTGAGGGCTATTCTTATTCAAACCACCACACCTTCTGGGTGGCTAAGATGATAGCTTGCCTGTTATATTTGACCACATTTTCCAAAAATGGATGAGGTAAATGTGGAAACAACTAGTGGCAGAGTGGTGATAAAGCCAGAGAGGCAGCATTGGGCACATGTGTTACTTATACCACCACTGGGGGTGGGGGTGGGGTAAACCAATAGGATGGCTAAGGGCTTTACTATTGAAAGCAGGAGCCAGGGATGGTGACTTCCTAATGCTATGACCCTTTAATACCCTTCCTCATGTTGTGGTGACCCCCAGTCATAAAATTATTTTTGCTGCTATTTCATAACTGTAATTTTGCTATTGTTGCAAATTGTACATATTTGATATGTGCCCCCCCAGAGGAGTTGTGACCCACAGGTTGAGAACCTCTGATCTAGAATCAACTACATGATAGGCCTCTGAGCATGCCCATGGGAGATTATCTTGATTACATTAATGGATGGGATGATCCTTGTTAACTTGTGAGTGGTACCCCAGGGTTTCTCCATGGGAGGGCACTCTTTTTCTAGAGTAAACCATCCAAACACAGACAGTCCTGTGGGAGAGTTGAACTGTCCTCATTCAGGGAAGGCAGCCTTTTATTTAGTAGAGTATGGTTGGAGACCAGGGGCTGGTGTTGATGTGGAAGGAGAGGAGCCCTCCTCCCCAAGTCTAGAAGCTGCCTTTGAGCTAGGCAGAAATCTCTGTGCTCTGGGCTGTGCTCTTCAGCTCTCAGCCTTTGACTTGGTCGTTTTCTCCTCTGAGTCCTCACTGGGATGCAAGCGGAGGACTTGAGCTTTGCCCATGGACTCTGGAGGATGGGAGAGGCAGTGGCAAGAGAGGAAAGAGCAGACAGGGAGGTAGGCCAACATCATGACCAGCTTTGCCTTCAGTTCAGTGGGAGACCTGGGACAAGCTGGCTCACTTCTGTGAGCCATAACACTCCCCAGCCCTTTCTTATCTGGATACCAAACATGAGTCAAGCACTTACTGCATGCCAGACACTTTGCTGGGCCCTTGGGATGCTACACAGCCTGGCAAGGGAGAATCATGCCCATTGTTGACAAGCATTCTCTCCCCTCCAGCTGCCACCTGCCCCCATACTCTTTGTTCTAAGATGCTATGTCCACTGCAGGGGCATCCTTTCTGGGTTCCCTTGTCCCTTCTTTCCATCCCCATCCCCATCCATGCCTTGCAGTGACCACAGGAGCATACTACATCCTTCTCATAATCGTCTGAGTATTCTATGCTCTTCAATAGGCTGGCCCTGTCTTGTCTTACCTTATACTGCTGCCCCCCACCCACCCAGAGGGCTCAGATACCCTGGCCAGCCTGTTTTTCTATCAGCACATCAGGCAAGAGGGAGCTCTTCTAGAAGGCTGACTCTGCGCATCCCCAGGTGGATGCTTCTGTGGCTCAGGATAGGGAGTCCCTCTCCCCAATTAATTAACCTGCTGTCCTCCTGGAGGTTCTTTCCTTTGTACACTTCCTCTCTAAGATGTAAGCCCCATGACTTGTCCCAATTCTTTCCTCATGACTCCCCAGAACCTGACACATAGTAAATATGCAATAAATGTTTGCTGCCTGAAGATGTGACCCAACTTCCTTGGGTAGGAATCCATCCAGAGCTGGCCTCAGTATGCCTCCAGAATAATTAACTCCCTTGGAAGGCTCTTACCTGGCTTTTCTGTCTTGGATAAAGGTGGTGTCTTCGTCTTCTTCAGGGATGGACTAGAACCAAATACAAAAGACAGGCTTGGGAGGCTGAATCTAAAGATGTCAGGTTGGTTATTAGTTGGGAGGTGTCATAGGTGTGGTCAACCACCAGCTCCCAGAAGAGGCAGGACATCCTCCTGAAGAGCTGCTGCAGGACTGTCCATAGATGGGCCCAGATAGTGTCCTGCACCTCCAAAGCAGGAAGCAGACAGTTGTGATTCTGTGTCTGCTGTAGCCATGGGGATCTAAGGTCGCCTTGTCTGGGATAGCCAGGTCTACAGCCTTTCCCTTGCCTGTCAAGCTGGTTCTGGACAAGCAACTAATGTCCCTCTATCTCGTGTGAGCTGTAAGCTACTATTAGCCTACATACACCCACATCATTTTCCCTACAACTCTGGCAAGAGGCTTTAGAGGGTCTCTTCCTCTGAGCACAGTGATGCTTGCCTTCCCTGCCTGGCTCTCCTTCCATTTTCATATTTACTCTGTTGCAGCACCTAGGGCCTGTCTAACTTGCCTGCCAATGAACCCCAGTCCTTGATCTTCCTTTCTTCCCTCAAGTAGAAAAAGAAAATCAATCCTAGGGCCCGGTTGAGAACCTATGCCCTAGGGCTGAGGTTATAGCTCCAGGGGGAGAAAGCTGACTTGTGAAGCCTTGGGTTTAAAAGGGATATGGTGCTACACACCTATAATCCCAGCACTCAGGAGGCAGAGGCAGGAGGACTAAGTTCAAGGTCAACTTCAGATACAAAGTAGGTTTGAGGCCAGCCCGATCCACAAAACAACCACCCACCAAAATATATCTCCCCCAAGTTAAGCCACTTTCTCAACCATGCTCCAGCACCCCAAAATTTAGTTCCTGCAGTCTGCTCATTCCTGACCACCAGGCCAGGACACCTCCCACCTCTTGAGATGGGCTTTTCCCAGCCTCTCAACTTTGCCATTTCCAATCCTCAGTGTCCCGCTTGGGAGGTGGCTAAGCCATAAGGCACTTGCTGTGTAAGCATGTGAGGACCAGAGGTCCTGCACCTGTATGGATGTTCTCCTCCCTGCTGCTTGAGGCAGGCTCTCTCCGTTGCATCCAAAGCACCCTGATCCATCTAGTCTGGCTTTTCTCAAGGATCCTGCCTTCTTTTCCTACGGCTACAATGCTGGAATTACAGATGGGTCACTGAGCCAGGGAGGGTGGATGCTGATGGCCAGGGCATGGTTCTGGGAACAGAAGGGCACAGGTGAGGGGCCCTGAGCCCACCTGTAGGTTGCCTGTTGTGTCTCTTGAGGAGGTTCTTGAAGCTCTTGGAGTTGGTTCAAGAGCTTCTCTTCTGGGATGGAGGGGAGTGAGTTGGGGATGAGGTGAGCCACCGCTGTCTGCAGAAGGCCCAGTGCCAGGTCTTTTTCTGAAAACAGCACAGGGCAGGGACCTCAGCCCTACTCCTCTCCTATCTCATCCAGCTAGCCCCACCCTGGTGAAGGACAGCTTCCTTTAATCATCCTACTGTTTGTAACTCTGTGCAGAGCCCTCAGCCCTGTATCACCCTTTCCTACCAGGAAAGCCCAGATGCACTTTGGTTTTGACCTCTTCCTCCCACTCCCTTCTCCCGTCCTCCCCACTCTGGTAGCACATTTGGAAATCTGGGTTTTACCCCCACCCCCACCCCCTTGCCTCCTTTCTCCCACCCCTTCCTCCAGAGAGCTTTTTTTAAGCTCCTTCCCTGGGGCTTTGCCCCTCCCCGCAGCCCCTCACTGTTCCAAAGCAGATGTGTATCTGTGGGCTCAGCGTACAAGCCTGTGTGTTCTTGTGTTTGCGCCTGTGTGCATACGCGTCCTGCCATGGTCAGGAGGGGCTGGGGCTCCTAGGAGCAATCTTTGGCTCTGTCCCCCTCCCAGACACCTATGTCTGAGGTCAGTACTCAAAAGGGGTCCCCTCCAAGAAACAGGGCCACTGAAATGCTGCCGAGAAGTAGGGGAGGAGGGAGGACAGATGCTGGGAACCCTTTAGAGTACTTTGGGACTCCCAAGGAGAAGAAAGACCTAGTGACATCCGTCCGACAGGGTCAGGGACAAGGGCAAGGTCTTGGCAATCCCTCAAATAGAGAGAGGGCCACACCATGTTGTTCTCACCCTTTGGTGGAGCATAAAGCAGCCAGAACTGGATAGCACTTAGAGAATCCGTTTGTAGAATCTGACAAAGAAGCTCCAAGATCTGTGTGAAAGAAGTCAGGCTATGGTCAGAGGGTGCCCCTGTCACACTCTAGCCAGGGAAACACAGCCTCCCCCCCTGACATGGGGTCCCTGGGTCACATGTTTGGCTAACGTGGTTCCCCCTAAAGGTTCCTCCATGAGACCTAGCACTTTTAGGAGGGGGGCTTTTTCCTCACAATTGTCCTTAGGATCCCTGCTGGGCAGGTAAAGAAAATGAGGCCTCAAGAAAGGAAGGCACAAGATGGGGACTTTAGAACAGAATCAAGCCTCAGATATCTGAGAGGTGAGACCTCTCAGCCCCATAGTCTCCACTGGGATGGTTGGAACCTAGGGCCCCTCACTGGGACAGCAAGATCAGAGCTGGCCAGTCACCTCCTCAGAGACGCACCGAGTCCTGCATGCTGGGATCTTTTGGGTGGTGATTTGGGGTACCCCGAGGGCCTCCCCACCCAGGAGCTCCAAGAATCTGGGGATGTTTGCCAGGAGGTGGGGGACTCGCTGTAGGCAGCCTTCTGGCCAGAGTGGACTGTTTCTGCCAAGTGCCTAGTGAGGGGTTCCATCCAGTGAAGTAGCCGGGACTCTTGGCTCCTAGCTGCCTCCTCAGCCAGTGGCTTCCCCTGTCTCCTCCAGTCAAGTAGCAGCAGTATAGAGTCCAGCTGTGTCCTGGATGTGCTCTGGGGAATTCCTAGGCCATGTTGCAGGTGGCGGCTGTAGCTATGGAGGGCTGGAAGGGGGACCCGTGGTGGGAGGTAGATCTTTGGGAGTCCTAAGAAAGTAGGGTTCGTTCCCTTAGCACTTTCCAGGCAGCCTTCCCAAAGACCCAGAGGGTCTATCAGACCCTGGCAGGCCCACCTTATCCTTGGTGGAATAGGAACTGGCTTGGGCTACTCCCTCAGACCTGTAGCTGCTAGATGCCCACCCTAGCCTCCCCCCACCCAGCATCCACTCGCAGCTCCCACCCTGAGTTGCCCTTTGGCCCTTCCCCATTCTTCCCATACTCCTTACCTGCCCTGGGCCCCCTCCCCACGAGACCTGAGAACCTAACTCCAGGTGCGGTGAGGCCGCCCTATGGTGAAGAAAGTACCAATTCTAGCCTGGCTGTGCTGGTCGTCTGTTGGGATTCATGGCCACAGAACATTACCCCAAAGGGTCTAAACTTCTTTGTCTGTTGAGTGGGGATCCTGAGATCTGTCTGATCTACCCATGTTGCTGGGCCCAAAAGCACTGCAGGGAGAGGTGGTAACACATGTTTGGGGGCCACTCATGCACTCTCACAGGGATCGCCAATGTCCTCATCCACTGTCAGACAGTGGGGGCTCATTTCAAGCCTTGGTGAGAAAACAAGCACAGGAAGCTGAGTTCAGGCCAGCCTTGCAGGTTGTAGATTGGGAATGCTCTGGGCAGGCCCTTCCCTCCTAGGTTCTCAGTTCCCTACTGCTTTCTCAAGAACAGTGGATGTTGACACTGGGAAGGTGCTTCAAGGGTAAATGCAGTAACATACACATGCTCCCAATAACATACACATGACTTACACAGAGAGGGTCAGGATGATGACAGGCTGTTTAGAGGCAGTGGAGCTCAGAGCCTAGGATGAGGACTCCTGGGGCATGGGTTTTCTGGTCTTACAGTCTTAGGGGGCAGTGTATCTGGGGAAGCCCCCCTAAGGCAGGCCAGAAGGATGCTGGCTGGAAAGCCTGGGAATCTGGAGGCTGAGACCACTGTAGTCCCTGCCTCAAGAGTGGGGCTTACCAACAGCTCCTGGTCCTGTAGAATGGAGGCTTGGGCTCCTCCATCTCTGCCAGCAGGGTGGCCCCGCTGGCCCTGGCGGCTGCGGCGGCTGAGGGCCTGGCTGGAAGCTGGGATAAGCCTACCGGTCTCAGCTGAGTACTTTGCACCCTGTTCCCTCAGAGGAGGCTCTTCCTTCAGCTGGAAGGAAAGTGGCAAGAGACTCTAGGAGCCGGCGAGAGTGGGAGAAGCCAAAGGGGGAAAGATGAAGAGGTCAGGCCACACCAGATACTGCCTTCCCCAGATCCCAGAAGGGACCTGTGATCTTATTAAGCCATCTGCAGCCTGTCCTGGGTCCTCTTTCATTGGTCCTGCCTCCTCCTGAATCCTAACTCAGCATCCCATGGTTGAATGAAGATGCCCCTGGTTGTCTTTGTTTTCTCCCAGACACAGGTCCTCTTCCAAATATCAGAGGTATAGGAGTTAGTGACCTGTGCCCCAGTGTCAACTCTGTTTCTTAGCTCTGCTGCTCCTATGTCTGAGGTCTGTTCCTCACAGTGTAACATCCTTTATTCTCTGCCCCTGCCTCTGTGTGTGTGTGTGTACGTGCTGCAAGCATGCACATGTGTTTTTGCATTTTTATGTGTATACAGACACACACACACATATATATATATATACAAGTGTGTATGTGTGTGATCACAGGACAACCTCAAGTGTCGTTCCTCACCTCTTTTTTTTTTTTTTTTTTTTTTTTTTTTTTCCTGAAACAAGGTTCCCTCACTGGCCTGGAACTTGCTTGTCTTTCTGCCTCCATAGAGTAAAGATTACAAGCATGAATCGATATGCCAGGCTTTTTTTTTTTTTTTTTTTTTAAGATTGTTTAATTTCATGTGCGCAGTGTCCTCTGTTGATCCCCTGGAAGTGGAATTACAAATGTTTGTGAGCCACCGTGTGGATTCTGGTAACTGAATCGATCCTTTGTAAGAGCAGACAGCTCTCTTATCTGGCTAGAGAGCCATCTCTCAGCCCACCCCACCCCCACTCTTCAGGCTTTTTTAAAATGGGTTTTGAGGATTGAACTTGGGTCTTCATGCTTATAAAGCAAGTATTTTGTTTTGTTTTTTTAGATAGGGACTCTCTACATAGACCTGGCTGTGTTAGAATTCACTGTGTAGACCAGGCTGGTCTCAAACTCACAAATTTACAGATTCAAGTACCTCTACTTCCTGAAAGGTTGAGGGCATGCTCCATCATGCTCATAAGGTAAGTGCTTGTCTTTCTTTGGCAAGTGCTTCAGAATGAGCTGCTTTCCCAGCCCTTGACATCCTTTCCCTGCCCTGGGAAATGTCACCTTCATTGTCACCATCCTCCCTTAGAAGGGTCCCCTTCCATGCCAGCAGCAGAGCTTTGGAGGGACTCGGGAAGGCTCTCTTTCCAGGCTCACTCCTTTGTTCAGTACCAACCTCGTTGGTCCTTGTCTCCATTTCCTTAGTAAAGACAGCCACTCGGGAAGCTAGGTCCTTTAGATTCTTCTTCCAGGAGGAGTCTGAGAGGACAGGACAAGATCTTGGGGGCCCTGTTTGCCCTCCATGTGTCATCAGGTCTGGGATGGAGGGGAAATGTTCTAGGCAGAAGTGCCCACCCCCAACTTTGCAAGCATTAGAAACCACCATGGAACAAGGGTTGCTAATTTGACAGTCTCCGAGTCCTCTCTGGGGGATGCTGGAGGAAGTCGGGCTACTGTGTCTAAATGTAAGTGGTTTGATCTGGCTTCTCTTCCCTTTTAGATGCCTGGAGCCAACACTGATATTCGGAAAGATGACATGCCTGTTGTTAAGACAGTAAACCACTCTCTAAACAGGTATAGTGTTCTACAGCCAGCCCTCGAACGTCTCTGCCCTGTGCTGACTGTCACCCTGTCCCACAAGATTTCTACCACACCCTACCCTCCTGACTTTCCCATACCCTAGCAGCAGAACAGTATGGCTTGGCCTCCAAAATTCCTACAACACTGCAGCTGGAGGTCTGGATAAACTACTACTTGAGTGTACATGTCACTAAATATTACAAGTGTCACTCTCTAGCTCCAAGTCACATAACTATACCCAAAATCAGTGTGAGTCCTGTTGTTATTCCTCAAAAACCTTAAATCCAAGCAGAGGCATTTTTTTGAGGGCTTGGGCCTGGAGAATAACAGATGAAATTGGCCCAGGAAATGAAGAGCAATGGCCTTTTCCTTCTCAGACCCCTGACCAGCCACACACTTTGGGAGAATTATGAGCCCCCAGGTAGACAGGTGTGGCCAAAATACCCACCAGAAGAAAGCTGAGGGTTCCGATTGGACTGTGGGTCCCCAATAGGGACAGAGATTGTGGGCATCCCCATCAGAGAGCTGGATAAGAGTGCAGACTGAGTCAAGGGTGCCAAAGAGAACTCGTCCCTGACCACGCAGACAGGCTTCCCAGTGAGATCTGCAGAGGAGATAAAATCTGTGAGTCGGGGGCCTGGTAGACTCCCTAGGAGCTCCAGAGGGCTAGAAAGAGGTGGTGAGGGGCAGGAAACCCTTCAGGTCTTCCTCCTCCTGTAACCACAAGCTCATGTCATCAGACCAGCAGGCACAGTCACCAGTGAGTTTCACAGAGGCAAGACAGAGTCAAGCCTTCATGGGACCTCCTAAGGTCCTTCTGGCTTCCTGTGACAGAATTGTAGATGGCTTAAAGATGAAGACTCTGGGGGCCAAGGAGATAGTTAAGTTGGTAAGTGTTTGCCTTGAAAATGAGAGGTTTTGAGTTTAATGTTGGCACTCATGGTTTTTAAAAAGGGCTGGGAAGATGGCTTAGTCAGTAAAATCATTTGCCATGCAAACGTGAGGCTCTGAGTTTGAATTACCAGAACCCATACATAAATGCCAGATGCATAGTGTGTGAGCATCTGTAATCTAGTGTTACTATGGAGAGATAGGGGTAGAGACAATATACAGGAAGCTTGCTGGCCAGCTAACCTGGCATATACAGTGGGAAAACAAAGATACTCTGTATCGGACAAGGTGGAAGACAAGGATTGATTCTTGAGGCTGCCCCCTGACCTCCACACACACATACCTTGGCATAGATGCACAAACATTCATACGTGTGAATGTGCACACACACATACAAAGCCATGTTGTGCACGTGCATGCATTCATGTATTCATTTGAGAATCATGTATGGGTGCATTCATGCACATTTGTGAGTGGGCAGGTGAAAGCTAGACAAAAGCCTTGGTTGTTGTTCCCCAGGCACTATCTACCTTATTTTATGTGAGATAGAGTCTCTCCTTGGCCAGCAGCTCACCCATTTAGCTTGGATGAACATAAAAATCCTCCTGTCTCCACCTCCCCAGCTTAGGCTACCATGCTTGGCTAGACCTTGGCTGCTTTGGTCCCAGAATCTACTGGCTTCTCCTTGTCTTCTCTCATGTCTTCTAATCTCAAACTCTTAATCCAAAACTCTGATCTCTTGTGTCTTCATAATGCATTGTTTCTTCTCCAATGGCTCTCACAGTTGTATCTCCCCAGCCTGTTCTGGCTGTTTCCTCCATCTATGACTCCTCCCCACCTCTATCCCCTCCTTCACTGACCCTTGATGGCTTCTAGGATTTGTGTACTCTGGTTCTCTAGTTGCTCAGTCTGACCATTAAGAAATGATGGCGATGCCTCTCTGCCCTATATTTCATCTTCAGTCAGTGCTCAAATCCTAGGAGTTTTCCCTTCTGTACCTCTAGACTAGAACTATGGAATCTTCCATAGCTTGATGGTTCAGCTTCCACCTGAAGCTGTTACCCTCCTAATAGCCCCACTTGATTCAGTGAAGTAATTGTTATTATGAATTTTAGATAGCCTCTCAGGTGGCTCAGGCTAGGCAGGACCTCTTAAGTAGGGTGGCCTTAAACTTGTAGCGATCCTTCTCCTGCCTCTGCATTCCAAATGTCAGGGTTATAGGAGTAGACACCATGTCAAGCTGGGGTGGCCTGCAGCACCAATGGCCTGCAAGGTCCACCTGATCCCGCTCCAAGCCTCTCTGAGACTCTTCCCTTCTCCTTCTGACTCTGCTCCAGATTTACTTCCTTTAGTCTTTCTCAATATCATATCATTGACTAGGACTCTTGTGACAACCTTTTGAAAGTGGTCAACTTCCCATCTGGAGCCTGACAGTGACATCTAGTCTATGTTCCATCCTTCCCAGCTGGATGTCAGCTCCAGGACAGCAGTGACAGTAGTCTGTTCTGCCTATTGTCATGTCCTTGGAGTCCAGTCAAGTGTCATCCTATAGCTAGCTCACACTCTGTAAATGCTGCAGATGGATGGGTGGGTGGGTAGAAGGATGGCCAAAACGATGAGGCAGCATGAGTCAGAGGTCAGAGCATCGTTCTGGGGTGGGACATTCTGACTCGGGGGAGGGAGACTCTGTAGGAGACCTCTGATATGCCCTTGCAGAGTGCTTTTTCCTTCAATCCCCCAGGTCAGTCCTGGCTTGGCCACTGGGCAGCCTTGAGATGCCCATCAGGCCCCATGCTCTCTAGACTTTGCCTGGAAGTGGGTAATAATGCATGCCTTTATACCAGATCTCATGACCAATTGGTGATACTCACTTCTGCAGGGCCCTATAGCCAGATCCTGCCCACTTGGTCCTACCTTGGATGTGTGTCACATGCTGTGGTTGGGGGTGGTGCCGGGAGAAGAAAGAATGGTGGCTGAGGCGTCCAAAGCGATAGGCACTTGGTGTTTGGGGCTTAGAGGTCTTCAGCTCTTCCTGGATCAACTCAAAATCCACAATGCCTGGGACCACAGGCTCTTTCTGGAATCCAACATCCCCATGGCTCCTTGGTAAGTGCTCTGGTTTCTTCTCAGGCTCTGGCTCTGCCTTTGGACTGAAAGGGAATGGTTAAAGAGAGACAAATGGTGTTTACTTTGGCACACCAGGCCTCAGGACCCAAGTGCCTATCATGGAGGCCAAGACCCAGAGGCTGAAATCTGCCTTCATGGCACTCCCACCCTATGGCCCCCAAAGCTTGGTTCCCCCAGAATCCTTTCCCAGTGATGCCATCCGGTCCCAGTGAGTCTCTCTCTGTCTTCCTAAGATGCCTTGGTAGGGAGCTGGGGCCCATCTGTCAGAGGGCAGATGGAACCTCCCAGGATCCCTGCTTTCTTCCTGAGACCAGATCTAAAACCAGAAAGAGAAGCCTCAGACCCACCTAGTCACCACAACCCTAGGATGCACCCAAAAGCCCCATATATATATATATATTCTCCAGGAACAGAAGCTGGCCCCATTAGAGGCCTTTCCTCAAACCAAAAATTTGGCAACGCGAGAAACCAGCTTTAGGCTGTCACTCCCCCCCCCCCCCCCGCCCCGTGACAGTCTTTTCTTAGACTCAGCACCCAGGGGTCAGAACTATAGTCAAGGCCAGGGAAGTCCCATTGAGCCCTTTCCCCACATGGTCCCTTCCCAGAAGACGCGAAGCTGACAACGATGCAAAGGGGTGGGGGAGGGGAGGGAGCAGCATCCAACTCTGGTCTTGTTGGGCTCGGCTAGAGACCAGCTGTCTCAGGTTCCCAGCACCCTGCCCCACCCCCAACATCAGAGGGCCTTAGCCTCTGTCCCTGGAGGAAGAGGAGGTCAGTCTAGCTCCAAAGGCATCCCAGGAGAGCCTGCTGTACCACCTGCCTGGTGGCTGTCTGCACTTCCCTCTCCTGCTGGCCCTGGCTGCAGGGAGGTCCCTTGGTCGCGTGTAGGTGGGCTGGGGATATGCTAAGCAAGGCGTGCCTCCCCTGAATCCTGGGAGGCTGTGGCTGGGCAGCCCCCTGAGTAGCCTGTTCCATTCTCCTTTCAGCTCTAGGCAATCTGGGACTTAAAGAAATAAAGCAAACTTCTCTGAAGTGGCTGTTAATAGTCTCCTCTACCCCCAAATAAGAGGAAGTCACTCTGCCTCCTAGCTAGTCTTTCAGAGGCCTGTGCCAACTCAGCTACCCAGGCCCTGGTGCATGGCATTCCAAGGTGAGGGAGGGCCTCTGCTGGAACTTGGGCTCTGTTTACCAAGTTCCTCCAAGGCTACCTTTGTCTTCCATCCTGCCTCATCTCCCTTTTGGTTCCTGAACATTCCTTTCTGGCCTGTGTGCATTTAGGTCCTCACCTCGCTAGTGGATGCTCAGCCAAGTGGATTTTCACCTCCGTTGTCATCACAGGGTTTGCAGTGAGAGATCTGAAGACGAGAATCCTAATGCCAGTGTTCTGGATGGATGGTACAGCTCTGGTGGACTGCTGGTGGGTGTATAAACAATCTGATGGGGAGAAGGGGACAGTATGTGGTAACACTGTACCACCAGGTAGTTTCTCTCCCAGACATAAGAAAACCTCCTATACCTATGCAGCATGCTTTGTCTATAAGAGTGCTATTCAGAGGGTCCAAAGCGGTAAAAAACCAAACCAAGGATATCACATGTATCTGGAAACATGAGTAAACCTGGGCTACATTCAGACCATGGAGGTTTTAGAATGCCGTGAGAAGCACTGAACCATAGTGACAGCCACGGCATCAGTAAATCAAACATAGTGCTTAGCATGGTTTAGCAAATCATATAGGGCAGTGGTTCTCAACCTGTGGGTCACAATCTCTTTGGGGGGGTGTCAAATGATCCCTTCACAGGGGTTGTATATCAGATATTTACATTACCATCCATAACAGCAATGAAATAATTTTATGGTGGTCACCACAACATGAGGGTCTGTATAAAAGGGTTGCAGAACTGAGAAGGTTGAGAAACACTGATACAAGGTCTCACTATGTAGCCCTAGTTGTAGCCTCAGTATGTAGATTAGCCCAGTCTTGGCCTCAAACTCACAGAGATCCATCTGCCTCTGACTCCAGAGTGCTGGAATTAAAGGTGCCTCCAACATGCCCAGCTTGGAAATACTTGTTAAAAGTAAAAGTTCACAGGACCACCAAGATGGCTGAACAGGTTGATGTACTTGCCATCACGCCTGAGTTTAATTCCTGCAATCCACATGATCGAAAGAGAAAACCAACTCCTACAAGTAGAGGAGGCTGCTAACTGCCCACATAACACACATACACACACACACACACACACACACACACACCTATATAACCCATACATACAATTTCTCCTGCAAACAGAATTATCACAAACATGAGGGCAGACAATACAACAACTAAGGAAATTCCCTTGGAGGCATTATTGAGTAGGACAAGAAAGAGAAGAGTACACAGGAAATGTGTTAGTGGCAATGCCATGTTCTTTACAGATGGTACATTTATTACAATCCAGTGCACTATTGAGTAAACCAACTAAAGGAAATGGAAGAAAGATGGCAAAGAAAGAATTATGATTAAATCTATAGACCCAATGCAAGTGCAAGGCACAGGGCTGACTGTGCCCTGGGAAAGGCCCTCAGGGTCACAGATCTGCAAGGCTTTCCCAAAGGCCTCAGTGCCACCTCCATCCCATTAGCATATGATGGATTTGCCTCATTTGAGGCTGCACAGGCAAGGACAGGCATCCAGCATCTGACTCACAGGCTCCTGATCTTTTGTCTAAAAACAGTGAGCAGGGCTCCCTCTTCAGGAAGCTTCAGGCAGGTATCAGCAATGGCAGGGGCTGAGTGCTCTCTATGGAGTGCTTCATGCTTGAAGACAGGGCATTTGGAAGTTCCTCATCCACACGCCTACAGGAAAAGGTGCTCTTTAGAATGGAAACTCTCAAACCATCACAACAGCAAGAAATCCATTTTTCCCAGGTCTCAACTCACATACGTGTTAGTGTGTGTGTGTGTGTGTGAGAGAGAGAGAGAGAGAGAGAGAGAGAGAGAGAGAGAGAGAGAGAGAGAGAGAGAGAGTGCATGCATGTGCAACCAAATGTACTCTGAAGCAGCATCTACAGGTGTTATACATGGATATTTGGGTCTTGTGGGTTTTTTGTTCTCCTTTTGGCTTTATAAATGTTAGACATGACCCATTAAACTGCTTCAATGAGCTTATGAATCGCCACCCATACTAGATGGGTCAGTAGGGACCTAGCAGGAGAGTTAGATGAGATCAGGTTAGGCCATCCCTGCCCTCCCCTGCCTCTGACCCTGGGTTCCTTGACAGTCAGGTACAAGAGATCTGAAGGTAGCCACCAATCTAACCGCAGGATGGCCTCTTATCCCCCACTCCTTTGTCCTCACCAGAGACAATTTCATTTCCTGTCCTTCAAAGAGGTCCCAGACCTTACCAGGAAGATGACCACCATTACAGCATATGGCAAGAAGGAAGCCCCTGGTGCATGACCAGGACAGATAAAGAGACTAACCAAGGGTAAGGCTTTGTCGGAACTGGGCAAACCTGTTGCTTTGTGACTATGCTGAGCCCAGTGGTTGCTAGGTTACCCCTTCCCCACAACTCCAGAACAGAGCCCTAGTACCTTTCTCCCCCACCCACATGAGGTTCATCTTTCCCCTTCCTGGGAGGTAGAGGCTGGAAGAGGACTTTCTCTTGACACTCCTCCTCCACTTCTAGTCTAAACACTTCCAATGGGGACCCAGACTAGTTGACTACCTGTTTCAACCAGCCAGCAGCAGACTGAGGGAGAAAAATCTGTCCAAGAATTCTGGTTAGGCCAGATTCTGGGCTTGCCAGCTTGATTCAGCTGGATGCTGCTGTGAGCAGTCTGCCTCTGTGAGCTTTGATTCTTGGGATCAGTACTCAGGGGAGTTGGATATCTCTTAAGTAGAGAAGAGGAGACCACACAGGACCTGGAGGGTCCCAGTGGTTTCACTTGGAGGGGTGGCAGCGGGGGGATTAGGGTTTTCATTTAGTTAAGCTGCCTGCATTGCTAGGGATGTGGAGTGCTAGTTAATACCCTCTGTTCAAATCCCCTTCTGCCATTTACTGTGAGGTGAGCTCAATTTACCCAATGTCTTTGGACCTCAGTCCCCATAGCTCTGAAATAAAGACAGGATTCCCATTTACTATCTCTTGGAGAGTGCTTTAACACACATGGAAGTGCTTAGCACCGTAGTGGCATCAAAACTGATCTCATACTATTCCTGTCTAGTCTTTCCGATTTCTGGGCCTATACTGAAGAATAAATGAACTTAGGAGAGTGAAGTTCCTAACTATATGTATGCTGGAGATGCTCAAAAGGGAGGGTGGCTGGGAAGGTGTGCAAAGTGTTCATCTTGCAAGCTTGAGGACTTGCAAGCTCAAAACCCAGAACCCACCAGTTAAAAAAGGAGGGAAGGGGGAGAGATGGCTCAGGGGTCAAGAGCAGTGGTTCAATTCCTAGCACCCACTTGGTCTGTAACTCCTGTTCCAGCACCAGGCAGACATATTTAGGTGGCTTCCTGACATTCCTGGGCCATAAGCATAGTATGCTGGCTAGTTTTATATCAATTTGACACAAGATAGAATCATCAGAGAGGAGGGAGCCTCAATTGAGAAATGACCTCTTTAAGACTGAGCTGTGGGCAAGCCTAAAGGGCATTTTCTTAGTGATTGATGGGGGAGGGCCCAGCCTATTGTGGATGTGGCCATCCCTGGGCTGGTGGTCTTGGGTTCTACAAGAAAGCAGGCTGAGCAAGCCAGTAAGCAGCACCCCTCTGCATCAGCTCCTGCCTCCAGGCTCCTGTCCTTTTTGAGTTCCTGTCCTGACTTTCTTCACTGATGAACTGTGAAGTGGAAGTGTGAACCCTTTCTTCCTCAAGTTGCTTCTGTCTTGGTGTTTCATCACGGCAGTAGGATCCCAGCTAGGACACCAAGCCTACATGGTTGTGTTCTAGGTTAGTAAGAGATCCTATCTCAGAAATTAAGAAAGAGTGGATGATGCCTGAGAAATGATATTTAAGGTTTCTCTCTGGCCTTCACATGCACACATGTGTTCACT